AGACTCGACAAATTTTTTCATGAAAGCATATCCTTTTGGATAGAATTGTTTTGGGTACTTCTGAATGAATAGATCGAGTTTATCAGTTTTGGTCTTTAAACAGAAATTATAGACCGACTGAATAAGGCGATTATAAAGGACCTCGCGTAAGACTTTCCTCACATGTTCACTGAAATCGACAACTTTCTTTTGATCCATCATCTCGATGAAGACTTCTCTCTCTTCGACACTTGGTGAGGTCGGTACATACGTTTTCACCAACACATTCAATTGATTCAAAAGTTCTGTTCTCCATGGTAATAACACTTCAGGTAGTGTCACTGAGTCAAAATACTTTGTTTTCCGGCCTGTAAAGTAGTTCCAATATCCTTGGTCGAGTTCCTCGACATATGCGTTGACCTTACATTTATAAGGAGGGTAACTCCCTCCACACAAAATAGGTACCGGCGTTTCAAAAAACTCAAACAAGATATCGGGGACATATGGAATAAATATCCCAGGCCAATAAAACGGATAAAACAACGTGAGGAGCCCAAGCACACAGGACGAAGTTGATGTAACATTATCTGAAAGTAAGATGACACCATACCCACACATCATCATACAAAGGGTATTCAAAACGTCTTCAACAGTCATCGTACAAAACAACCGAATGAGGGAATAGTCTCCGACTAATCCCATCGACCGCTCAATTTCACTGGATTTCTGTGAACTCAAAAACACTTTAGAACATGGAAATGTTGTCTTGTTGTTATTCCCAAGCATTACATTAATTGCTTCGGTCGGCCGTTCCAGTTTCATGAACTGTTGGAGCTTCACTTCGAGAAGTGCTTTAATCGGATTCACTGTGAAATTTGGGCTCTGCATTTCCACTCTTAGAATGAATGAGTAATAATACTCTAACTTGTTTCGATATCCTATTTCCGACAATTGCGAGAGTAACGCAAACAAGCAGTTAAAGTACGGGCATGTCGTGGTGAAACAATACGTTCGTTGTGTATAATATGGCTCTTTAAAAAGTTCTGCAGTGAGTCCCACTGGGTTAATTAAGTCACTTGTGATATTCAGAAATTCGTTTTGTCTGAGACATACACAAATCGTACTTGTTTCTTCTCCAGGAAGCATCGTGACGTACTGGGTTGGATGTTTCTTCATTATTTCCTTTGAGACTGATGGAAGTTTCGAAATAGTTGGCGGTTGGGGTACAATGAATTGTTCGGACTTCAGCGGAAATTCATAACTTTCCGGGTATTTGTAGAGCAAACTAATTTGTGGCGTCGGAGTGTTTGGCGCCGTCGACGGCGATACTCCAAATATTGAAAAAGAGGTGATCAGTGTTTTTGTCAACGTGGTTAGTGCAACGGTCAATGGTGAGTCGCGTAAGAGTGTTGAGTCGGCCATTGACTTGAATTATAAGTTTATGTCATTTGTAGTATTTGTATAGCTTTTTTACTACATTTTTATAGTTCAACTACCCATGACATATTTCGTCACCACAAAACAGTATTTTTGTTATTTGATCAATCAAGAATTAGGTAGGGTTTCCCGAAAAAAGACAAATTGTTTTAGTGCAATGTGACGTTTTGTTGAAAACTTGGAATACAATAAAAGATGTGTTTTATAACTTTGCAGCATCAAAGCAATACTTCGTGAGTATCTCCAAACAGCTTGACATCGACGGTACTCTTAACACTCGTGACATTTCTTATGGTTAAATTTCTTGACTTCAATGGTACCTCCCCGATGTCCATTGATTTCACCGAAAGTAAAATAAGGTGCTCGATTGTACTGTTAACCAACTTGTCGAAAACAAAGACACCATCACACAAATAGAGATTTTCAACGTGTTTTGGAAGAGTGATGGAATGTGGATTAAATTCTGTGAACCCCAAGTGTTGTAGATCATTTGCTTGTGACAAATCAATCGAAAAGGGTTTACCTCTAATTATATCGAAAGATACAAGAGAGGAAGGGCACACAAGATGTTCAATTTGGGGTGATAACAAAATCAAAACTTTCAAACCCAAAAGGTTACTTGTGAGATCGTTGTCGAAAACACAGCCTATTGCCACTAGATTTGTTATTCCTCTGTTGAACGGCAAGCCTTTTTGTAAATTCATTCGATTGAGATGCAGAGCCTTTAGATTGTCTGTAAAAATGGGGCTTTCCTTAAAACGAGAATATGACATTGATAGTTCTTTAAGCGAAGTTAAAAGCGTCATATCTTGTGTTACTGTGGCGTTTTGAAATTCCAACGCAGTCATTGAACTAAACTTTGACAAATCAAAATTTGTATCATTCACTATGTGCAACTTTTTGATTGTTTTAAAATTAGCTGGTGTGGCTTTTGAAAGTGTATTTTCAGTGCATTCCAAGAACAACACGCCGTCCGGTATTTGGTTCAACTCTCCGTGTACACTTTTAATATTCGTGCTTTTGATCATATCTTCTGAAAAGACAATTTTAGAATTACTTAGTGTGTTGACTGTTTGAAGTTCGTGAAGTCCGTTTAACAGAATATCATTTTTTACTTCTGACCTTACAGTGATAGTCTTCACAAGGCACATTTCATCAATCTCATTAATTTTCATCAAGTTGTTGTTACATACATTTAACGTGTAATCTCGCAAAAATACGATCTCTCCGTCTTTATATATCCAATCATCAAAAGCGACAACAGCGAAGCTCTTGAGTATGTCTAAGTGTTCGACCTTTTCATATCTTGAATTAAACACCACTATCTTCTTTTCGAAATTTTTGTACTTCTGAAGTTGTAAAGCTGTTTCTGTTTTCCTACAGTGAAGCGACACAACTTTGATATGTTGTGTCTTGTCTGGGAAGACGTCTTCTAATGTTATTGAGTTTTCCCAGTTTAAAACGTTGAGTTTTACGATCTGGAGATTGGCAAACCCACTCAAGTTGATTTTTTTTGAAAATGAAGACACAATAAGCATAATAACTTTTTCTTTCAATTTCTCAAACAAAAAAATATCGTGATTTTCTTCAGAAATATGATTTATTAACTTGATTTGTGCAATCTTGTCAATTATATTATTTCTTAGTGCAATATCATTATTATCACATTCTATTGTCTCGAGGTGTGGAAAAAGAACGAAAATATTATTTGGGATGAGAGTGTTTACTATATTATGATAAGTTCTTGATGATACAATTTCGTTTTTGTTTTGGAGTGTTTTTAGTGACATCTTTGGAAAAAATCTGAGCATCTCTGTTGCTTCTAAACATTTTTTATTTACTAATTTAAGTGTGATAACATCTTCAACAAACCGAAAATATATAACAGCGTTTGCAAGATAAAAGGCTTCAAGTTGTTTCATCGTTTTATAGTTTTGTGATTTTTATTTATTCATTCAAATTTTAAACTTCTTTTTTTTTGACGTATAATTATTAATAACAAAATATAATTTATAATTATAAAAATAATAGTAAATTAAAAATACTATTTTTTTTAGTTAATTATTAAAACCAAGAATACTATTTTAATTAATTAATGATTAATTTATTCTTTTTAAATTATAGTTAAATTTAACTATAAAATATAGTATCTCACTTTTATTTTTAGAAAGAGAAGAGAGAAAGGGGATGAGAAATGGAGGTTAAACAACTCTGGAAAGTGAGAAAGCAAACAAAATTCAAATTTGGTTTGTTCTGATTGTAGGAAGTGGTAAGAACTCACAAACCGCGAGATCGTTTTGTCTCGAAACCTCGAGGACAAAAAAGAAAGAGAACTGGGTTAGGTTAAAAAATAGAAAAGAACAGAAGATGGGTCTCTCTTGGAGGTGCGCCTTTTTGCACTCCCGTTGTTTCCGTGTCTTTATTCTAACATCGCTGCTTGTGTTTTCAGTGCTGTACATTGTCTTGACGATCGGGGTTATTTTCACACCAGCAACGCTTCTAATTAAAAAGTGGTATGATCCACTTCCAAAAGCTATTGTGTCTGTCAAAGACAGTGCTCAAATTATTTACCCAATGATTGAGGATGTCTCAAAATTGTCCAACACAGTCATCCGAGCAGACTATTTTTTCCAGTTTGGGTTTTCGGAGTTCAACAAGACGTACAACATTATCGACCAAACGATCGACGAACAAGTCTTTCCTATACTGAACCTCACCAACTCTGCAATATCAGGAGCAACTGGTTTTGTCAATAAAATTGCAGATTTTCTTCATTCAATACACATCAACTTCAACATTTCGTTCGTCGACAACCTCAACATAATCAATGACATTCTCAGCGAGGTTCCACAACAACTCACTGATCTCCAGTTTCAAATGGACAAGGCAACAAGAGCTGGCGAGGCTCTTGGGCAGTCCATTGATGTTGTTGGGCACAGGTTCATCAAGTTTTACCACACTTGCGATAATCTCACTGATGTTGTTGATAATGTTTTCCAAGACGTTGATATTATTGTTCAACAGATGGATGTTTTGGAAGATTCCATACCGGTGGTTGTTGTACTTGGAAAGGCGGTCGCGTGCTTTGTTATGGTGTGGCTTGCATTTGTTACTATGATCATTTTCTTGTATGTCAAATATCACAAGCCAGTTGGTTGAACCAAATCATGTTTTTTGAAGACAAATTCTATATTTTGATTAAATATTTTATTATTTTGGTTTTATTTATATTTGAATTTTATAAGTTTGTTTTAGTTTATTAAATTGTTTTTAATCAAAAAACATTATGTTTTAGTTTTTGTTAACTTAAAAAAATAAACTAAAGGTGTTACTTTTTTGAACTAAAGTCTTACATAAATTTAATTCAATTATAAAAAATTTAAAAATAAATATTTTTCAAATGATTTAAAAAACATTTTTATTATAATTTAATAATTTTAATATTAAAATTAAACCAATAAAAATCAATTTAAAATGAAATTTTGAAATTGAGTTATTCGGAACGAAAGATCATAAGAAGGGAGAAAAAGAAAGTAAAAACATGGACAGCAGTGCTTCTTTTTGTAGAGTCATCAAACTTGTCATGGACGGCACAACGATACACATTGATGACTCAAGGCTTGTTTCAGCTCTGCAAGAGCTGCAGGCCAGGGTTGACTCGCTTGAAGCTATTCTCAGAAAAGACCCACAAGCTCCCCCAAATGCCACTGACATTCGAGACAAAACGAATTACGCGGGTGTTAGTACATCGGACCTTCATGGGGTAATAGTACCAATTTTGTTCAACGCAGAAGACTATGAGAGTCACCTTGTCAAGAAGAAACAATGTGAAGTGAAACGACAACGACATTTATCCTTTTTGATTGAAATAGCCAATACCAAATTCCGTCGCTTATTTTAGTTCACATTTGGCATTCCAATAAATTATCGTCGTGTTGTTATTTCCAGTTTCACCAATCGAACAAAACAATAAACTGAAACAATAACATGTTAAAAAAGCGCTTTTTATTCGCTGAGGGTCGTCCCCCAGAACGTTTAATACACACTCAAAGGAAGAACTCAGGGATGACCACCTTTGCAGTCAGTTTGTGTTGGTCGGCTGGGCATTCCTTGAAGAATTCGAACTTGTACGAATCGGCCTTCGTCATGACCATAATACACGCTTCATTCCCGCACCTGTAGCAATAATTTGGCGCACTCCAAACAGTTACAATCTTATTGTCCAACATCCACTTAAACCCTTCCTGGATGAGTTGATGAGCTCGACACACGAAATTCAGTCCGTTTACTTGCAAGAAATCGTTGAGAGGTTGTTGCCCGAAAGTGTGTCCAGCGCCTCGTGGGCTTTCTTCCCAGTCGATGTATGGCTTGTTTTCTTCAGGGTCGCTCCACAACAAATCACACATTACGCCGTCGTGTGGGACTTCTTTTTTTCGATCGACTCGCGCGATGATGTCAAGTGTCTTACAGTCGGGGGAAAGTCCTCCGTGGGTGCCAAACACACGCCCATCGATCAACACCCCAAGCGACAAGAAGTCAAACAAATCGGTGCAGTTTTTCCAGACGTTCGACGTTCCGTATTTTCTCTGGCACTCGTCGTAAAACCCATATATCTGTGTAATTGCCCGGCTCTCATGGTTTCCTCTTATCAAATAAATGTGGTCGGTGTACTTGACTTTGAGTGCGATTAACAACAAAAACGTTTCGACGGAGTTGAATCCCCTGTCGACGTAGTCGCCCAAAAATACGTACTTTGTTTCGGGAGGCCGTCGGCCTGTTTTAAAAAGTTCGAGAAGGTCCCAGAACTGACCATGGATATCACCACATATGGTCACTGGCGTTTGTAAAGGTATCATGTTGGGCTCCTCACACACAATCTCGCGACACTTGTCACAAAGGTATTCGACTGTAAGTTCACTGACTGGCTTTCCAACCCACAACGCGTCGAGTATTTTGTCGATGTCTGTATCTTGTGAGGAAATTGATTCTATCTCCATCCTTTCTTTTTTTCAGTTTCTCACTTTTGGAAAATTTTCTCTTTTCATTCAAATCGTATTTTTCCTTTCGGATGAGTGTGGTTTCAGGTAAACGAACTATTTCGCAGCGATCCCTGAATTTTAAAACCCTTTTTTCAATTCCAGTTTTTCTAATTATGAGGAAATCGAGTAAAAATGTTTTTCTCTTTTTTTTTATTTTTTTTTTTTTAAATGGCAGTGAAAATGTTTTCAATTGTGTTTTTCTATTTGAAGTTTTTAAAAATTCCTCACGATTTTTATTTTTATCAATGGAATGTTCTTCATCCTCTATCAATCTTGAATAAAATGATATGAATGGCTATTATGGCCAGAATGGATGTAGTATTCTGATTTATAAACAGTAAAACACAATTACTACTAATATAGTTTTATAATTTACAATTTAATTATTTATAATAGTAAAATAAACCCCCAAAAAATTTAAAAATGAAATTTTGAGATTTGGTATATATTATTTGCAAATGCAGAAGAATAATACAAATGAAATGTTTTCAAATCGATTTTTGATTTGATTAAAAATCAGAGAAAGAGTTCGATTGTGATAGTTTGTCCAACAACATAAAAAGGAACTCACCAACTCCTTAATTAATGCTTTCGTTCTTATTACTATTGTGTTTAGTTAATTCCAAAAAGGCATGGATCATTACAGACACACACTTCGATAGCAATTACGCAGAAGGCACACCTACAAAGTGTTATACTACCGACTGTTGCCACGAAGACTCTAAACCAAGGCAAGACGCAGAGGAAGCTGGACGGTGTGCTTCTTACGAGTGTTATCCACCTCTTAACACGGTCACTTCAGCATTTGATCATATTAGAGAAAACAAAGATCAGAGCGACACTGTCTTTTGGTTAATGGATGCTGTACCTGGTGATGTCTTGAGTCAGTCAAAAGAGATCAATAAGAATACAATTAAACTTATTGTAGAACAACTTAAACAGAAGCTCCCTGGCTTTAAAATATATCCAGTCCCTGGTAACCATGATTATTTCTTGAGCTCAAATTGGGAGTTTGTTTCTATTATTTCAAGTATATGGTATATATATTATAATGCTATAGTTCATCTGTATCACAGATACGATTAGTAATTTATAGTATAATAATAATATAATTATATAATTATTAATATGTATAACTGGAAGGTATCCTCCAAAAAGTGAATGGATGCTCTCATTTATGGCAGATTTATTCTCAGAATGGTTATCCACAGAGGCTTTGGAGACATTTAAAATAGCGGGATATTACAACGAAATGATTGACACGGACATCCGATTGGTAGCACTGAATCTGGTTTATGTGGATATGTTCTCGATGCACAACGGTCAGTATAAAAGACAAGACCCGGGAAATATGGTAGCTTGGTTTAATCAGACTCTGAAAGATGCCAAAGCAAATAACGAGAAAATTCTTTTGATCTCACATGAGTGTATTGGTCTTAAGTCGAATGGACAGTTTGACTTAGCTCCCGAGTTTAACGCCGACTTCACAACATTAATGGAAGAGTATGGCGACCTTATGATAACGCATTTCTGTGGACATTCACATTATGAGTCATTCAGACTCTTGCCAAACAGAGAGAACGCCAAGTACTCTTGTTTGGTGAATCCAGCTTTGACATCCTATAAAAGTCTTGACCCCAAGTTTAGGTTGATCGAATTTGACAAGAATGGAGTGAAGGATTGGATGACATTTGCTATGAATGTCGAAGAGTGTAACAACATGACAAATGGATATCCTTGGAAGAAGTTATATCGTGCAAGTGAGTATTATGGTATCAACGACTATTCTGTTGATGGTCTTAAACAGTTTTATGATAAATTGAGCACAGACAGTTCGCTTTGGAGTAAATTCATGAAAGTGTATAGTACCACGAGTTTCTATACATGTGCCGATGACTGTAAAAAAGGTATTTTATGCGCTTTGAATCATTTGACTGAAGAAGAGTACAAAACTTGTATGTCGAGTTAATTCAGTTCAATCATACTTTTCATTGTTTTCGTTACTACTTTCTATTTAATAAATAGCATTCTAATATACATATGATATTAAAATAATATAATAATAAAACCTCAAACTATGGTTATTATTAATAGTAATAATATGATATAAGAATAATAATGTGATTCTTGGGTTTTTTTTTTTATTACACTTTTGTAACTCATTATAGTTATATTATAATAATAGTATAGCAATGGGATAGTATATCTTTAAATAAAAATAGCATAAAAAAACGTTTTCTATAAAAATGGCGAGTCAAACAGACAAAAAAAAATGAATCTTCGCCACGATCCATTAAAAGTTTTAATAAGACGAACTTGAATAAGAAAACAAATCCAATGACTTGTTCATTTTTGTTCTTTGCAATTTTGGCTGTAGCAAGTGCTTCTGGCAATTTAGACACCAGTTTTTATGTCTCTTTGGGGTGTTTGATTGCGATGATTGTTGTCTTCACGGTGTTAATCATTGGGGTTTCTGGAATATATATATTTAAGAAGCTTCGTTCAAAGAACCATGAGTATGAAGCTCTTCAGTGATAAATAAGTGAATGATTCATGTGATTCAATTCGATCTTTGGTATTATACTATAATAGTATTTTATTTAAATTCAAAACTATACGAAAACAGTAGAATTACTGCGAGTAGTCCTTAATAATATCGTTGAGCTTCGCCACGATTGTGCTGAAACTGGGTCTTTCAGTCGGAACGTCTTTCAAGCAGAGTTGGATGAGTTCTGGCATTCCATTCGGGAATTGAGTTGGATTGATGGCTGGCCTTTCTCCTGCACACACCTTTTGTTGAATTTGTGCGTTGGACAAGTCCTTGTATGGTACTTCATTAGTGAAGATATGGATCATAGTCATCCCAAATGAGTACACATCAATAGGTAATCCGTGTTCTCTCATTTCCATGACTTCGGGTGCCATATATTGGTATGTTCCTGGACTTTTCTTGAGCACTTCGCCCTTCCTCAATTTGAAGATAGTAGTCAAGTCGTGCAACTTCACTGTGCATTTCCCTTCATTTGTGATGTCGTGGTGGACCACACGTAATTTACTCGGCTTAACATTTCTGTGAATGATGTTGTGTGAACTGAGATACATAAGTGCATTCGCACAGTCGGAGCAACATCTCAACAAGAATGGAATACCCATCTTCTCCTTCTCCATTAAAGTTTGTAAGTCGCTGACTGTATCTCCATCAAGAAGAATAGTCGATGATGCCAAAATAATGCCAGTCATCCCAAGAATGTCCGGGTGGTGAATATCTCGATACACATTCTGGATGAATTCATAGTCGTCTTTTTCATATTTATCTTCTATGTTGTATTTGAATGCAACAACACTCTCATTCTTAACAGTAGAAAGTACTCCATTGATCATTCCAACTCTAAACTGTTCTTCATCAGAAGCTTTCACTAAGTCCTTGTCGTTGTAGGCCGGGACTATACCTTCTAACTGGAATCGAAGTGCACGGCTGACAATTTCGCCGCCCATCAAAGCCTTTTTCTTTAAGTGGAATTGGACTTGACCAGTCAGACCCATAGTGGCATATTGATGGAAGAGTAAAGTGACTTTAATAGTGATGTGGTCACCCTTTTTGAGAGTGAACTTGTTGTTGTCCACAGTCAGTTCGTACTTTGGTGACTCTGCTGTTTCGACGTTGAGCTTGTAAGTGCAATCAGTCTTGTTCACAAAGCCGATAGTTTCGACCAGTGGGATTCCTTGGATGGCGTAGTTACTTCCAAATGTGAGCTTTTCAATTTTCTATGTGTTAGTGGATACGAAGAGATTGGATAGAGTCATATTTGGTTATGAACAAACTGGCTCAAGAGAGAGTGCAAATCCCTCGTCAAAGTATGTTGAGATTGATGAAGAAAGTGGGAGTCCCTTTGATGACATCTGTTTGTGTTTTTCAAGATGGCCAGAAAGGAACTCAAGTCCAAAAGAATATATCAAGAAGTGATTTGGAGTTCCATAAAAATAGCACGAGATGAACGATGTGGTTCTTTTCTAACTCTTTTAACTAGTGTTTAGAATTTGTCATTGCTCGATTTTTTCATTTTTCTGGAAATTGTTGTTGGGACGCTTTTGAAAAAGACAGAAGAGGCTCTGTGGAATTCCGAATATACACACTTCGTTCTTTTCCCGTTTGTTCCTTTGAAGGATTTTAATTGAAAAAATGGTGGTCACCGGCTACACTTGAAATCAAATGATTTGAATCAGGGAAGTTGAACTTCATTAATCTATTTATGAAGTAGACGAAGATATGTATTATACTCAAAACCATACTAAAATAGTAAATATTTTTATTGATCAGTTACAGTGATCTATTTCAATGACGTCTTCATATCTATAGTTTCATTTATAATAAAAATACCATGTTGTGTACTATTTACCCAATGCGAAATATGAAGAGCTTTCCATTGATATGCAAGTGGGCAAAACGCCATTCTTCGCTCTGAAAACGCATTTGTAGGGTTAATCAGGCATGTTTTCATAAAGCGCAACACGTCACACCAATCCACTGTTTTCAATCCGAAAAGACGGCTAGAAAGTGACGACCAAAGATAGTGAAAGGGAAGATTGTCCAAGCTGGAAATGCGTGTTTTAAATAAAAAGAAATCCAAATTGGGTAAACCAAATATTCACAAAACAAAAAATTTATAAATGAGCAGACAAGTGTGGAACGAACATTCCCAAGAAATTATGTCAAAAACAAGGCACTGTCATCTCATAGTTTATTCGAGTTGATGAGTCGGATCACACAACACCAAACAGTCTGCTCCAGACGACTGAGTAACATCATTCAAGTCAATACAATCGTTCGGAAGAGTGACATTGAGAAGTATTATGACCAAGCCATCGATGATGGTGGAGAGTCTTCATTTAGTTGTGATGCTGAAGTCATGAGGATTCTTTGTTGCAATACTAACTTCGGAAGAGATGTTCTTGAAATGGAAAATTGTATCAGAGCAACTGTCGAGATGGAAAGGTCCATTACGCCAGCACTCTAATATTTCTCTATGTTTATTGATTGTAAATTTCATTTGCTTTGAAAGACACTTTTTCTGATTTTTTATACTATTTTACGTCAAACCGTTCCATTTGGTTTCATTTGGTTTGATTTACTATTTTTCATTAGTAAAAGTATTGTTATTATTAGTACAGTGTCATGTAGTGAGATGTTAACGAAAAGAAATGGTAATGACCAAAATAAAAGGAAGTTAAATAATTGAAATTATTGTTTCAATCCCCGAAATTGAAATGTTATTGTGGCTAAAAAATGGTTTTTTAATGGGAATTACTGGACAACATTTCGTCGTTTTTTTGATAGTTTTTCTTTGTATGATATTTTTTTATTTGTTTTTTACTTGTTTTTTTCCGTTTTTTGGTAAAAACGTGTTTTATTCAGGTGTTTAAATATCTGACAATTAGGTTAACAAGTCATAAAAAAACGAATATCATCAAAAAAATTACAACAGTTAAAATTTTTATAAAAAGATATTTGAATCATTATTTGTTTTGATCGACATTTCTTGATTTTTTCTATAATTCATCATTTTTGTGGATATATTCGGGATTCAAACAAAGTTATTTTTTGATTATTGGCAAATAAAAAGATTTGTCACCATTTTGTGCTGATCCGTATCAAATTGAACATCGAGAATTACCATTCATTTTATTATACACATGTATTTTTATCCTTATTACTCAAATACTGCGCAAATTGTTGGGAAAGTTATGACAAAAAACGACTATTAAAATGCTTTTACAAAATCTACCAAAACGGGTATATTTGTTTTTTTATGAAAAACAAATTCTATAATATAGCTTTTTATGTTATAAAATAAATAATATTTATAAGTTGATATTTTTAAATTTTGATGTTTGGTATCTCATAAATATAAGAACTGTTATATAAAAAACCAACCGGCAAACTATAATAATGGTTCCTAAAAACTATTTAATGGTTTTTCAATGCAAAATTTGTAAAAACAGGACAAAAAACAAAAAAACTGGAATTTACTATAAATTTATGGTTTGCTGGTCTTTTTTTCTGTGCCAAACTATTTTTTGGATATCTCTATATTAAAGTTTGCCAAGTGTCACCGAGTTACTCAATTATATGTAATCGCGACTCAATAATTTTTAAAGAAAAATAGAATTACAAAAACTGAACATCAATTCAGTTGATTAACAACTATTTATTGTTTAACAATCAACAAGAAATTCTGAATGTAATCAACACCTTTATTTTTAAAAAGGATAATCAATATTTATTTCACTGTTGTTTACTAATTATGAACATTAAAAACCAAACAATGTTCGAATTCTTTTTATATCCATCCTTTCGTATATTTTCTTGACTTATTCCTTCGAAACTAAAAAAGAATAAAAACATCAATAAGGATATATTGGCGATAAATTCTCTTCCTCATTATTCTCTTCTTTCTTTCGTGGTGTACTTTTCTCAAATTCGTTCGTATCCATTTTGCGCCTTTCGATACTTTCAGCGTCTTCTTCTCCACATCCCAAATACAAATAACTGTTGATGATATTATTCTGAAAATTCATTTCAGGACCCGACTCGCTGTTTGTTCCTTGACGATCCCCTGTACCCACCACTCTCTCAAACGCATTTTTAATATTTTGGCCCTTCTTCTTCGCTCCTTCTTGATCCATATTTTCAAGTTCTTATGTATTAACTCAAAACCTAACACAAACCATAAAAAGTAAATAATTCAAAAATGTCACACTTCTATTTCTTCTTCTCCATTACCATTGGAACAACTTCTTTCATGTCCACCTTCGACACAACGTCCTCCAGTTCTTCTTGCACTTGGCCCATATGTGTTTTCACATACTCGCGTTTCTGGTCTTCATTCTCAAACACTCCAGATGTCTCCGCCTGCTTCGTTATTTTCTGTTCCATCACTTTCATCACACCGTTCTTGATACGTTCAGTCACTTTACTTAATATATGCTCTCTCTTCGCTGATAATTCAACATTTTCTTGCATTTCCTTATTCAAATCGGCTAACGCAAGTATTGGTGTTCCTTTCCCCATCCAGTGTTTTCCTTCTTCATCGTACTGTTCACGGGTTTCACTTGTACTTTTGTCTTCAATATCATTCCGAATGGTCACCTCCCTCACCAACACCTCCTCCTTCTTCTCTTGACTGCTCTCTTTCTCACGTCTCTCCTCCTCTTCAATTTCTTTGATTTGTTTTGTCGTCATCTCTTCAAGTTGTCTCTCAATGGCAGTATTAAAAGGCATTGCAGTTTTATTCTCGCTATTTGTTGATATGTGCTCTACCACTGCTTTATTCGCGATTTGACATTTGAGTGGCGATAGTACCTCCGAATCATGTGAATAAGATGATCGATATTGGTCAATATCCTTTTTAACAGTCGAGATGTCCGAAATGGCTGAAGCAAGTTGTTCTGGTTTTATTGGTTCAGGGCGGTTCTTAAGTATTTCGGAGTGTTCTGCGTTGGATATTTCCATCATTCTCGCCTTACTCATTTCGCTTTTCATTGATATTTGCGACGGACTTTGCATTTTGTCGTTTTCATCTTCTTCCATTCTCGCTGTTTTTGCTTTGGGTTGGGCTAAAGGGGAAACATCCTCATAGGACACGTTATTTTCATACATCACTCCATTATTGTGTTCAATTTCCATATACGAATCGATGATATTATCAACACCAACCAATTTCTTGATATCCTCCAAGTCCATTTCCTCTTGTTCCTTTTCATTAATTTTCTCCGAAAGGAGTGCGGAGTTGACAATCGATTTTCTATTCGGTCTCACACCCTCAAACTGATCGACTTCTTCGATTCTCATTTTCCGTTTTTGTGGCGCAATATCCTCCAAATCTGCTTCTTCCGGTTTGACATCTTCGAAAGAGTCGTCGTCTTTAACTTCTAACTTTTTCATGGCGGCTTGTTTCCTAAGTTGTTCTTGTTGTTGTTTTAAGTACTTCTCTTCTTCGGCTCTTTCTTTCTCGATATGTATTGTCAATTCGCCTTTCTCGTATTCATTGAGATTCATATAACTGTTCATGATGTTATTTTTAATTTCGTCTTCTCTCATATCAGTCGTTTGTTTTGGCGTTCGGTCAATAACACCGTTGTTAATTAACTCGCGTTCTTCTCTCTCTAAGTTACCAAAGATTCCCGCTACGCTACTTCGAAGTCGTTGTTTATCAACTGGTTTATAGACGGGGACTGTCTTTGTGTCCGGTAAATTTTGTTTAATAGCGCTCGTGTATATTTGTGACGGCGGATTGATTATATTGTGTTTGTCCATTGCCAGACGGCGTAAGTCTGAGTAACGACTGTGTCCCTTCATTCTCTTCTTTTAAGTTCATTTTTTTCTCTTTTTTCCTGTTTTTTCTCTGGGTGATATATATACATTGCTGTTTTTTTTAAATTGTTATTTATATATCTTACTGCCCATTTCTCCACTTCTCTTTTTTTTGTCGTTTTTTACGTCTCATTTCACTGCTGTTTCTCATTTACTCATTTTTTTGACATTTTTGAGTAATCATCTTTTAAAGCCAGAAGACGATTCAGTTGATTGTTTTTTATAGTTCATTATACTATTTTTTATAGTTTTGTTTTATTTTTCTGAAAATTTGATTTGGTTTAAATAAGAATTTTAAAATACAAAAATTTAAGATGCGATCTTTGGATTTGTTTTTTATCTGATTATTTTTCTTCAAAAACTTTTATACAAATTTCTAATTGTCTTAAAATTATAATATAGTTCATTTAAACTATTTTTCTAATTTTCAATTGACTTCAAAAATATATTTATTCATCGAAAAATTTTATTAAAAGAGTTTTAAAAAATATAGTATTCCCACAAACCATTAAAACCCCATATTAAAAACTAAAACAGAGTTCAATAAAATCCGAACCCAGTGCATTCGCTGATGGCATACAACAACTTCTCCTTAAGTATTTCTTTATTGCTGTAATTAGGCAAATCCAGTCTGTTAATGCAAGTATGTGCAGTTGGCAATTTTTCGTCGGGATTGTCGTACTTAATAGAACAAATCATGAAAGGGAGTGGATGTCCATCTGCGTCCACCAATTTCTGGAACCCTCCAATCGGGGAATTAGGTGATCCTGTGACAAATTGAAGGACTTTATTTCGCAACAGTTGATTCATCTCTTCAAGTACACTCCAGAACCAGACTACTTGGAGACTCTCCTCATTATAACTCTCATAGACGCAATTCTTTTTCAACTCTTTCACGTCAAACTCCTCTCCACAGAACACTTTCTCTAATTCCTTTTCTTCAAACATCTTCACCTTGTCAACTGCTAACACTGAAAACAGCCCTTTCCCAAACCACTCAACTTGTTTCGCGTATTTAGTGTTATATTTGTATTGAACTAACAGCTCAATGTACTCCTTCTTATTGCTTTCGTTCACTTCCAAGTCGCCCTCTTTCAACTTGACCTCTTCTACTTTATCACCACGTTTCTCGTCATATACAAAAGTGAGTCCCCATGCACTCACATCACTGTTTAACACGTTTTGCATCTGTTTGTAAAACTCGGGGTCAACCACTTTTAAATCTTCCACTTCCGTTCTCTTCCCAAGAAGCATTCGTAAGAACGTCAATGAGAATCGCAAATTGAGCGTCATGTTATCACATATCATCTTCCCGATCAATTTGCCCACAAACATCATCAACTCCGGTGAACTCATTAAATCGGGTTCTAACACACCGTTTTCTACTCTAAAGAGTAACGTCTTCTCGTCTACAATGTCTTCAAGTGCAAGTGCATAACACTCTCTCAATAGTCCACCAACATCCTCCCCCGTTTCATTCTCGAACCTGACCTTAATTAAACAGTCAAAAAGAACCGAATTTCGAAGTTGGGCGTAGAGCGTCTGCAACACTTGTTGTCGCTTCACGGTGACCGTGAGGCGTTTGTTCCCATTCCGACTTTTGATGGACTTGTACAACTCGTCCATCTTCTTTTCAAATGGATAACAGAACCGTTGTGACTCAAGAAAGTGTAATCCTCGTTCAAAGACATTCGCGTCGATGATATACAAAAAGTCGATGTAACTTCTGATGGTTCGTAACAATTCAATAATCTTCTTATTCGGATTTTGTGTGTTATTCGTTAATTCTTTTTGAACCAGTTTCAGTGCAATTTTCAAATCAATTGTCTCGCGTGTTTCTATAATTCTACTAATAAGTGTAGTATAATTTATAGTTTCAATTTCGTCCATTTTCTTTTCTTTTTGTGCACTTTGTGACGTCTCCATTTTCTCCTTCTTCTCTTTTACCAATGGTATTTCATTTGAAACGTCTTTCTCACCTTCTTCGTCATTTTCTTCATTGTTCTGTTCATTCACTTCTTCTTCTTGATTCTCAAATTCATTTCCTTGAATCAGTCCTTCCTCTTCACGAGCAAAATATTGGTCTTGATCCATTCCATTCTCTTCATCATTATATCCGTCAATTCTCTCTTGAAAACGAGGGGGCAAACCTTCATTCCCAATAAAGTACTCTGCAACTCCGTTTTCATGGTCATTTAACATCCCAAATTGTGGTATTCGATGGTCGTTCATTAAGTGTGGGTTCTGTGGAACAAACATTCCCATAGGCAAATTACCTCCAAATAGAGGTGAAGCAAGCTGTGTTCTTCCCAAATCGGCGAAATAGGGGACAAAAGTGTTTCCAGTTCTATTCGGTTGCACAGATTTAACAGTGTTTTGAGTCAAGTTGATAACGTTTAAGAAATTGAAAAAGTTCTCTTTGCTTGTGCGGTCCATTTCTCCTTCAAACTGCTTTGTATACTCAAACACGATGTCTTCACATATCGTCCTCGTCACTTCACTCATCGCAAAATTTATGCAATCTAACACACCATAGCGCACCTTCTCCCCGATACTCTCCATCACCATTTTCACAACGGTTTTGTCGTTAAAGTCGACGTAGATACTTCCAAAGTTAAGTAATTTGTCGATCGCATTCCGCTTCGTCCCAACACCAAAGTTACTTTTCACGATAAGTTGGACACACTTCGAAATCATGTCTTTCACTTGTTGTGGCGGGTGGTCGTATTTTTCCAACAAACAATATAAGATACCAACAAACGCATTCACCTTCGTTTCTGACTGTTTTGTAATCGCTTTTGTTATGAATTCTTCCACCACCAACACTATAACATTCTTCAAAAACATTTTAGAAGGATCGCTCTTCACAAAGTCCATCAACGCTACCATACAATACTTCCTCACTTCCTCTGTAGTGGAACTTCCGATGTTCTCAACAAAATTGACGACATTAATTGTCTTGTCTGCTGCAGACAATTCAATCAATGAAGGTGATGGTCTGTCATGTCCTTTCTGCTTATTCAAGAACAAGAATACTGGTTCTAACATCGGCAGTCTAACTCTTTTCGTTCGATTGTTCTCAGAAGCAAGTTGTTCGACTCTTCCTGTTCTTCTCCGTTCTTCTGGATGTTCTTCGTAGTACTGAAGAATCTGTTCAGCCCAGAATTGTTGAGGAATCTGCACAAGTGTCTCATAGTTTATTCCGATAGGAAGTTCAATATCACCCATTGAAGGCACATACACTACTCTTCTCTCAACTTGTTGTTGTGGTGTTGATTGTGGTTGTGTTACTTGTTGAGGACAAGTCGTTGGCGGTTTCACTTGGTCCAAAATCAAGTTGCATTGATCAGACACATCGCCGTTTCCGCGCTCTAATTGTATTGCGCCATACTCTTTGATAACAGCAATGACTCCAGTGACTCGTCTATTGTCATTATTATTTGAGTAAATGGCGTAGTCATGAACTAATTGTGTGATCACATTATCACACCCCAAGACTTCTACAAGTTGTTCGATCTCTGTCTTCTCCATACTTGTGTCACTGTCACTTGGAATAACATTCGCAACCTTTTCCATTCGAAGCTTCTGAGTAAGTTCATCAACTCTTTGTTGTGAGAGAGGTGGCTTATTCAGTTTGTCATTGGTACCACTCTGTGGCAGTCTTCTCTTCATCGCCTCATTGAATATTTTGTCGAAACAAATGTCGTTGAACGATAAAAAGAATGTGTTTTCGACCTCTTCCATATTCCCTTTAAGTTGTTCAGAAACGACTTTGTTGAATTTTATGCAATCAAATTTGGATGTCTCGACTTTTGTTGGCTCGTTATACCAATTTGGTGTGATGTTATTTGGTCTGAGTGTATTGATGACTTTTGGCTTTGATAATGCACTCGGAGTTCCTCCAAGTAACAATGCTTTCAGTGCCAATTCTTCTGCAGTCTTGTCCGTGATCCACCCATTATCATTCAAATCTTTCACCAGAGACGACACATCTGCAGTGATTTGTCCCTTCAATAAATAATGTGAGAGTCTCTCCTTATTCTCATTGTACGCAGATTGTCCAACACACAATATCAGAGGTATTATGTATGAGCACACAATCATTTCGTTGTTCAATTCAGTCTTTTTCAAGAATTCAAAGAAGGAAGATATCAAGGTAAGTGCATTCATACTGTTTTTGAACGAATACATAAAGAATTTCGCTTTCTCGGTTGCATCGACAGAAGTGACTACTCTTGCCTTTGTTGTTAACCCTAATAAATCAGCAACGATTGTCATATTCAATATTTCTCGAAGACTCCCAGACTCTTTGTTGTGTTTATTAAACACATCCTCTAACACACCTTTGTCGCAACTAGAAAATGCTTTTCCAATATCATCATACGCCTCTAAACGTACATTTTCACTGAATACTCTTTCAAATACTCTTTCAACACCTTTCACATTCACATTGTTCTCTTGCAAATACAAAATCGCATCTAAGACAGTTGCAATTGTCACACCGTCATATAATACCATTGATATATCTATTTCATCGTACAAAAAGCAGAACAGTCCAACTACTCTTTCATAATTCACTTTCAATGCTTCTTGTGTGATTTTCGTTTGAATAATGCTTTTGATAATATGTGAGATATACTTCTGTGAATGTTCTTTAATTTCGTACCCCAAAAATGTCGTTGTCGAAGGGTCGATCAAAATCCGATTCTCAAAACAGACTTCGAGAAATGGAAGTGTTGTTTTAGTTAAGTACAGTCTTTCCAGAAAAAGTGCACATATCTCCTCCTTCGGGTTCTTTAAAACTTCTTGCAAACATCCATCATAGATCACAAGATCGTTATTTTCAATCGTTTTAATTCTTCGAAGACACTCAATCAACAACGAAACTACCGCCTTATGGCTTAATTTCGTTTTATTTTGATTTTCAATGGACTCTCTCACCTTTTTCAGTGCCAAAAAGGCCAATAATAGCTTCCCAGTATCAGGTAGCGTCTTAGCAATTTCACGAAGAATATTCTCAGACAAGAATTGTATTGTCCTCCCAACAAAAAAGAAGAGTCGATTCACCTTTCGAATCCCAAAGTCGAGTGAATCTTCACTATTTGTGATCTTTTCGTTTCCACTCGCATACAAAGCAATCAATTTGAACGCATTAATAACACATTCTTTACTGAAATCCAAGTGCTCTTTATTCATCGTATTCAAGTCCCACTTATTGACATTTAAAAAGTACGTGATTGGTAGACAAACGAGGAGTTGGTCGAGCGTGAAGTTGTTGTCCTTATGCTTTTTGGCCAGATCAAACGTCGTCTTTGAATTCGCAAAATCGTCTTTATTCCCATTCGAAACTATTTTGAAAAACCAATTCCCTTTCAACGCATACACCTTCTCTACGGTCTTCTCAAAGAACCTCACTCGCGGCGCATTCCCCCACAAAAAGTTCCACAAAAATTTGATCATTTCTTTCTCTGTGATATCCTTTGTTTTATGCAATGACTCTTGGAGTAAGTTGTTTGCAGCAATGTTAAATGGTAACGGTGGTATACTGAATGAAGTCTTTTGTTTGTCAATATCAACATTTTTCATCTTGTCTAACACAGTTTCCACTAAGTACCACAATGAACACGAAAACATGGTTTGTCCCTGCGAATACAAGTATATCACAGACTTCGTCAGTGTGTTATTCGTGTCAATCATTCTCTTGATAACATTGTAATAGATGTTCTTAATATCAACGGAAAGTTGTTCTGGACCACTATGAAATTGAATAACTGTATCAAACAACACAAACAGTGTCCCAACTGTTTTGCAATTTGGATCGTTCAATACAATTTTGGCAAACGCACTAAATTCAGTCATTCGAGTGTCCAGTATTTTATTCATCCCTCTTGATGTCTTCATTAAATACAAAGGGCGCACTAAAAAGTTTGCGAAATCGTCTTCTGTAAAATGTCTTTTAAGCAACGTGAAAGTGTGTTTTTCATCGACTACTCGTGGAGTTTGAAGGGTTAAATACCTCTCGACCAAAATGACTGCAAAAAAGCTTTTAAGTGTCTTTGCATTCTCATACAACTCCTTTACTCGCTCAATCATTTTGTAATGAGTTGAAGTGTGGAGTGCCGCAGAGGCTATAAAGAATTTCCAGAACTCGGGAAACGTGTCACAGTTGAAGATATATTCGGAAATGACTTTCACTTTGACCCAATTGGAATATGTAAATCCTCTCAAGAAGTTGTCGACAAGTATTTCCTCTTTTTGTGTTATTGGCTTGTTCTCCTTCCCCTTCTCAAATTCTTGAATAATAAATTTGATGACTGCGGTCTCGATATTCTTATCATCCATTCTGCTCAACCACACTTGATTCGCTAATACAAAAGTCTCTTCACATAACAATTTCTCAAAGTTCTCAGTGACGTTATGACCTCTTCCAATTTCAAGTACTGTGTTTAGGACTTGATAGTCTTCGTTTTGACTTTCAATGTATTTCTTTTGTGCAACTCGCATTCCAAAGTCGGACCCAAGAGCTTTAGAAACTTCTTTAATGTACTTGGTGTAGTCCTCACCAATTGGAGGAGCCTCAATATTCATCACATCCGAAAATACCTCAATCTTTTTTGTATTAGAGAAGTATGCCGCTATTTCTGGAAACTGTGAAGACTCTAAGTAATATGAGTTCGTTGGATAAAATACTCCTCGCAACGCGCAACACTCGATCATTTCCCAAAGCATCTTTCGTTGCTCTTTTGTGACTTCTCGTAGTTTTACTTCGTTGTCGATTTGAACTACAGGAAGTGCCTCCAAAAAGTGCTTCAAATGTTTGGAGAAATCCGTGTCAAAAATTGGGGTAATTGGGGTGTCCTTCACTTTGTTGTACTCCGCCTTGAAATTTTCATAACATATGCTTGGATTCATCTCTTCTTCCATTCTATATTAACAGTTCTATATGTACATACATAACCATTCAATGAACTTAATAAAAGCTATAACCAAACCATTTGTTTGTAATGACTTATGATAATTAAATAACAACTCATTCAATAGTAAAAAAACAAAATGTTGAGTTATAGAATATTATACTAATTACTATAATCTATTGTTATTCATCCATAACAATAATTGAATGAGGAAGAATTAAATAAGATTTATTTTCTATTATAATATTTACTAATATCATATACCATACTTTATAATATTTTGAATTATTAAAATTGTATTGATATACTAATAACAAATAAATAGTTTAATTTAAAATTTTACTATTTCAATCATTTCTTGTAAATTTTTATTTATCATATGCTAAAATATTAACACCGTTAAAAAAAATGTTTTTTTAAAACAAATTAAATGGGAAATTAAACTATAATTTATAATTTAGTATATTATATATTTGAATCATGAACTCCAAGTCTTGCCAAATTAATATTCTATTTTGTAACTATAAATAAATCATATTTAAATTACTAAAAAAAAGACAACAAAATCGCCTAAAAAGAAGTAAAATAAGAAGAAGTTAACGTGACCAGCTTCTTCTCTCCTCTACTTACAACCCAAATTCATCATCAATTTCATGGAACCTATCTGCCTCATCGCCGAAGATGTCATCATCGTCTTCATTTTCTTCGACAATTTCGTCCCCAGTATTAAAGTTTTCATCGAGCTGTTCCATATCGAGTTTGTATCTTAAGATACCACCAATACCACTAAAGCCTTTGACAAACTGTGCACCCTCTTGTGTGTTGTCTGTCACAAACTCAAGTCTTGTTCCAAAGTCCTTGTAATGTTCGGAGATCCAATCGACAAAAGCCTCCTGAGCCACAAATTTCATATCAACGCCAGTCTCAGCGTCTTTCATGATTCCTCCCTCAGCGACATCAGACTCTTTCTGTGTATAAATGACTTTCTTCTCGTCAGTGTTGGGATTAATCAGTTCAGTACGAATCGATTTCAAGTTTTCCCAGACAATCAAACGTTCGACAGCTCCCATCTCAAGTGCTTTAATAGTCTCTTGCATGCCAAAGACAAACTTACCAGTGTCCATCTTGATGTTATCCATGAATTCATTAATCAAGTCCTTTTCCGCAACAAATCTGACGTTTCTCAACGTCTCTGCAGACAACTCAATGGCTTGGTTGAATCCGTTTAATCCACCATAAGAGACATCGACTATATTCAATACAATGGCTTGAAGTCTTGGATCAAACATCATAGACTTATTAAGTACAGTCTTAAAGTCGGCAATACCAGCAAGAATGAGCCCCGAGACATTAGGGTGGTCGTCCGTGATGAAATTCTCAACAGCAAGTTCTCCAACTCTTCTGACGTAGTTGTGTCTCTTCTCAAGTCTCAAACGTGCAAAACGGACAGATGACTGACCACCTCTCCCGTGTTTCTTGGGCAACTCAACAGTGATCTTCTGTAAAACACTTCTGGTGTTTCCTTGTAATGTTCCAAACAAAGTGCCATTCCCGTCCATAACAATAAATCCATATTTGTCATCGTTCTGCATTAAATCGGTGATAGCTTCAGTATGGAATCTATTATCACAGAGATAAGTCGATGTATTGATCGGCTTGGGCGGTTCAAGATCAATGCATACCAACTTCTCTCCTTTCTCAGTGTATACAGAACCACAGTATATAACTAACCCATTTGGGGGTACAATGTGGTGCAATTTAAGTCTGTTTTGGGTCGATGTAATAGCAGTGAGCACTGACTGCCTATTCACTCGCGACTTGATGTTCGTAGCAGTACCATATTCTTCAACTAGCTTCTGCATCATTTTCGATATCTGTTCTTCGGGCTTCATGATCACCGTGATCATCGATGTCCCATCACCGCGTGCCGCTTCCAAATTTTTCACAAGTCGCTTCGTCTGAAAGACTTTGATCTGCTCGTCCTCTGTCAATTCTTCTTCTTTCACCTTAACAGTCTTTCCCAATATCGCCATAATACTTGTCTTTAGAGTTTTTTAGGGTTTCTTCTTTGTTTGTTAAGTTTGAGTCTTGAATGCATTTATTATTCATTAGTAAATTAATAGCAATTTATAATATACTAGAGATTTATTATTGATATTGCCATTGAAAAAGACATTTTATTTCTACCAAATTCTTGTTTCTTTAATTTAAAATATTACAGACAAATTACTTGCTTAATCAGACTTTTTATGAGTAAGATTTAGGTCAACAAAAAAGGGTTTTATAAACTTTTTTTGATTCTGAATGATTTGAAATTTAACTAATGTAATAATAAATGAATTATAAAATTTTATTAGAAAGAAAGTGTTTGACGAGTTACTCTTCTATTATTCAAAACTAATTAAATTCATCCCTTTTAAATCGAAATCAATAATCCTTCAAACAGAAGAACATCCCACTCAGATTGTATAGTGCGTCGAGTAACAGTCTCTGTCTTTTATCAAGTAACATGTATTCACTCATTTCTTCTGTGTTAAGCAACAACTTCTGCATTTCTTCTCCTTCTTTGAATTTGGCAATCAACTCCGCCTTCATCGAAATCTCCATCCGATATCTCTCCGTTGTGTTCATGATCGCCTTTGCAGTCTCTCGCAACAAAATAGCATTTGTTTGCGAGAAGTTGACAGACCACATGAAGTACGCATTCTTTCCTCCTCTCAAGTGGGACCGGGGGACTTCTTGTCCGTTGATGAATCCCGCTTGAAACAACTTGAATAGTATTCCACGAATGTTATCAATATCACCAATTAATAAGTCTGCTATCTGACTGTCCGTCAAGACGTGTTTCATCTTTAATACTCGAAACACATTAGCTGCCAACACTCCATATCGTGAAGACAACGTCGATTCGATCAGTTGTCCTTTTAAAAATGCAGTTGCTGCTTCCACCTCTATAACTTAGTTCGCCTTTTAATATCTCCACAGTAACATTATGTCTAACAAACGTAACTTATAGCTATTCGTCTCCGCAACTACAGCAGACTGATTCTTCGCAACAATAAATGGCTCATCTCTCGTCATCATTTCTAAATACTTTCTCACCGTCTCCGGTGGCAACTCAATCAAGTTTTGGCACAACACGGCAAAGTCCACGGGAGTCTTCCCGCACGCAGACAACTCCCACATCTTGTTGATAATCGGCCCAGCCTTCTCGTCGAATTTCTTTGTTGCCATCTCAAGTATTTTCTACACATCAAACCAAATTCTATATTGATAATATAATATAATATAACTATACTTTATTAGAACACATAGTCAACCAACAAACAGACAGAATGTTTTCCTTGTTGTACACTTCGATATTGACCATCCAAACTGGTTCGACGTCTTCTTGATTTTCTTGGTCGAGAGGAGAGTTGATGTTTTTGATATCGACGCCCGCCTTCATCTTCTTAGGTATTGGTTTTTCGATCTCTGCTTTACTTTTCTTTCTTCCCTTCTTCTTTTGTCCGTCGTTTTGTTTCATAATGGAGAAGGAAGGAGCTGGTGTTGAAGTTCTCTCGAGTTGTGCCAAGTCTGAAATATTCTTGTTGACTCGCATGATGTACTTTGCCTTGACGAGATCGTCGAAAGTTTTTTTGACCTCTTTACGGTCCAACTCAGGCTCTTTTGACTGGATGACAGCGTACAGATCGTCAAAGTTAAGCATTCCGTAACTCAAAAGAGTCATTGAAATACTCTTCGCAAGGTCTCCGAATTTGACTTGCATCAGCGCGACGAAGTGTGGGTGTCGCAATGAGAATAAAACTCTGTTTTGGTCTATAGAACACACCATCGGTTCATCCTTCGAGTACCTCAAAATGCCGTGATGAAGAAGTACTAACAGTGCCTCGTAAACTCGACTGTATGGAAATTTGGTTCTTCGCCATAAATCAAAAATTGTTGTTGGGTGAAGTAACAACTCCCGCGAAACACGTCCGACAAACTCGCCAAATTGGTTTGATATGATTTGGATGATGAGGTCGTCGTAAATTGTGGTGTTCATCAAATAGCCCTTAACAGTTCTTCTCTTTCTTCATCGAACAGAAAACTGTACTAAAACTCTCATTCAATTTATTATAAAACACTAGTTTGCTTGTTGGAAGAAGTTAAAAAGAAAGACTCACATTTGATTCAAAAAGGTTTTATAAATTAATTATTTTTAATACATTAAGATATATTAAGAATTATGGGGTTTTTATAAAAAAGAATTGAAATGTGGTGATATGAATACTATATTTTTAGAATTTGTTTAACACAAATTGATTGAAAAGTCGATAAATAAGTAAAAATATAATAATAATTATTCCATCAAATAATTCATATGAAACAGGAAAATGTCGGAATAAACTATCATTACAATAGGCATTGCATTAGTAGTAACTTTAAAAAAGAACTAGAAATTAGTAAGAAATGTTGACAACACTTCTGCTTATCGCTGCTGCCCTCGGGGGTCCATGCAAATACTTAAAGGATTTACACAGAAAGAACAATGACTACCACGTCACAAGGCAAGACGCCGATGGGGACCTCTATTTTAACTTGTGTGGACATGTCGACTCGGACTTGAGTATCGATAAGAGTGACATTTCAGTCGTCTTAAACTCAACAACATTTGAGAGTGTCATTGTCTTGGGATACACACACACGGAGACTGTAACGATTTCCGAAGACAAGAACAAAGTCTCTTTTCACTACGATGGACAGAGTTTGTCGACGTTGTTGCTCTCTGCTTTGGTCGAAGTCTCTTGTGGCCTTGATACTTCAGCTAACATTCAACCATCGAAGAGTGACTATATGTTCATATTCAGTTTCACATCGCCATACGCCTGTAATATTAGTGAAGGCTTCCCGATCGTTGGTGTAATCTTGTGCTCTATATTGGTGGCGGGTATCATTTTGTACTTTGTCATCGGAATTAGTCTGAACATTTTCGTCTTTAAAAGAAATGGAATGGAAATCTTCCCAAATTTTAAGTTTTGGTATGGCTTGCCAAGACTCGTTTTGGACGGTATGGAATTCACTTTCTGTTGCAAGAAACCTGGTTCGGAATACCAAAATCTCTCAGTTTAATTAAAATCCACTACGTTCTTGTTTGTAACTATTAACTGTAATACATTGTATTAGTGTTACTAGTAAAATAAACTCTGCCTATCTCTTCTTTTGTTCGATTTTTTTGGGCTGTACTAAAGATATAAATGCAATAAAACTATTTTTTATTAAAGAATTAAAAAGCCGAATTTGAAGACAAAAATTCAATGGTCTTGACAAGCCTCAAACTTGGACTTTGATACTAGTTTACACATTTATAAAAAAGCCATAAAAGAACTATAAAATATAAGAGGCAGTTGAAGAAAATGACAAAATGTTTTTGAGACTTTCCCGAAATATGAAGTATTGACTGCTTAGAGAATGGTGAGGGAAAAAAAACGAACATCCACGTGGTGTATAGTTAGCCCAAAAAACAATCCCGTCTTATTAAGCGTAAAACACTTGAATCTCTAAACAAAAAACAATAAGCCAAACACTATTTACCATAACCAAATGATGTTATTTGAAATAGAAATAGTAAGGTGTTACCACCAATAAAGAAGAAATGCTTAGAATAACTAAAGAACTGGTCGTCACTGTATAAGGGAGAGCAGGAACTAAAAATTTCACTACCAATTACTTATGACCAAGTTATACATCGGAAACCTCGACTTCCAGACCACGAACGAAGAACTTAAAGCCGCCTTCCAGGCTTACAACGTTGTTGAAGTCAACATCCTTAAGACCCCAATCAACCTTTCTAGAGGCTTTGGGTTCATCGACGTCAAGACCGAAGAGGACGCCAAGAAGGCGTTGGAAATGGACAAGAAGACCATTGGAAAGCGTTCGATCCGTGTCGAGTTAGCTCTTCCAGAAGACAAGAAAGTGAAGAGAGAGGAAGGTGCTAGAAGACCATACGGCTACCACGCCCGTAGACCATATGCCCCAAGACAAAACAGATATGCAAGAAGAGAAGAAGGTGAAGAGCCAAGAGAATCAAGACCAGCAAGACAACCAAGATTCGCTAGAAAGCCAAGAGACACCACCCCAAAGGAACTCTCTGAGACCAATTTGTTCGTTAAGAATTTGCCATTCAAGTTGTCTGACGAGGAATTCAAGAAGCTTTTCGAGAAGTACGAAGTTGTTGAAGCTTCTGTCGTTAGAAGAAACTACAGAAAGGCTGAGAACGTTTCTAAGGGTTATGGATTCGTCACACTGAAGTCTGCTGAACAACAAAAGAAGGCCGTCGCTGAGGTGAATGGAACTGAAATCGATGGAAGAAAGATCTCTGTCGCAGTCGCTTTCAAAAGACCAGAAAAGCCAACCGAAGTCAAAACGGAAACCAAAACTGAGTGAATTCACGACGTATAAGTCAGTTACACTGTTCTGTTCTTTTTAGGGTTTGTATGACTCATTTATGGTTTTTTACTATCAAATTATAGTTTTTTTCAACTCGACTTTTGTTGTATAAATATCAGTTTGATATAGTATAATTATGATTAAATGATAGTACAATTGAGTTGGCTAATAATTCAATTACAAAGAGGAGCACTGACTTAACTCGGCGTAGAAGTCGTTGTTTCTGAAGTAATAGTCTTCCCAAATTGAGACGTTTGACATGATGAAAGAAGGGAAATAAGGTGTGGTTATAGCGATGAAGGATGGATTTAAAAAGTCGTTGACATTGCTAAGGATGTAACTTGGGAGACTGAGTGTGTTTTTCAAACTTGCATGTTGGACCGTGTTTTCGAAGAACCAAGAGAATTTTGCGTCGTACAAACTATCAGCAAGAAAGATAAGCAGTTTGTCGTTGAATTGGAAATTGTTTTTGCCGTTGACCAGGACCAAATGAACTGCCTCTAAAAATTGGAAAAAGATGGGAGACGTTGCTTTGTCATTGATGGAGTCAAGACCTTCTCTAAAACTGGATTGATTGACTCTTTTCAAATTTGGAAATGCAGATGTTAAAGAAGGAAGTGGATCAATGGCCCAAGTCACTCCACACCCTGTCCGTAAAGAGAACCGATGACCTGCTGATATCCATTCGCGTTGGATTAACACCAAAAATCCTTCAATAGTTCCTTACTATTAATATATAGTTTTAATACTGAATGAATAACAAACTATAATATGGATCAAGCATAATCAAGACTAAAGATATAAGTTGGCACGTTATATCCCATCCATTACGACAATGAATTAAGATGGAACTGCCGTTATACAATTTCTTTGCAATATCAATTGAATAAGAAATGAGTTGGTCGATTTCTTGTAACCACTTTGAGTTGTTAATATCCAACACAAAGGTGTAACTTCTTTTGTCGCCAAAGAATAAAACTTTCAAAAGGGAGTAAAACGATTGTTTGATCTCTTTAATTCCATCCATTGACAAATTCACAAAAGTACAAAATGGATATGACAGTTGTGTCTCCATCCCACCCCCTTGTATTCGTGTTGCTTTTGCACTGAGTTTTGGTCGTGCATCAAACACAATTATTGTTTTCTGTGGTGACAAGTTTTTAAGCGACTCAAGTATCTGAATATCATCATCACAGACATTCTGTCCAAACGTCCCAACTAAAGGCTGTGAACTTCGTGCAAGACATTGCATATTTGGACCAACCCAACTGATGATTGGAAAACGCCCTTTTGCTCGGTAATTCGTAAGAGATCCCATATCATAATTTCCAAATGGAAGTAACACCTTCTCTGGGTATGACTCACACTTAAATACTAAACTACTTTTATCATTTGAAAACGTTTTAAATATGTTCTCCGCTATAACAAATCGTTTGTCACCAACAACTCCGATCCTTTGGAAATCAAACATCGGGTCGACTATTCGACTCTCAACACTTTGAGTAATGTCTATGCCTCGGAACGCAAAGATCTCAGAAGTCGTCCGTGGGAAGAGTAATTTATTCTCGGTGTAGACGTGCAACACTCGTGGGGTGACAGAATTGCCCATTTTGAATAGCACTTGTTTGATGTCTTTAGTTGCAAAATAAAGCAAATCAGTCGACTCATCCAATGAACAGAAAATGCAAGAAAACACTGCGTTGTGTGGTATTCGTACAAACGCTCCATTTTTCCATATTAACGTTTGATATGTTGTGATCAAGATGTTGTGTTCCACATATAACATAACTTCCATATTTGGTATCATTAACGAAATGGCCTTATACGTTTTGGGGCGTTTGAGGCGTGAGGTTAAATAAGGAAATGTCTTTGCTCTGACAACCCCAATTTTTTCAACACGACTGTCACATAAAACAGTTTCACAATTTGATATGACAGTAATGTTGCCATCGATATGGGCAAATGCGTAGTAATCACACCCTATACAAAGTGAGTGCAAAACGTTGCTCACAGTTGTTGTATTGGTCAAACAGACTTTAAAGACTTCCTTCTTGTCAACTTTGATAAACGACGAATTGTTGTTCAAAGAAAACACTTCGACGGGAATAGTACCTCTTGTAGGAAGTGAATTGAATGATATTTGTGTTGCAACAAGTAACACATCATTGGATGTTTTCATCACATCGACACACAACACTCCTTCATTTTCTACATACTCAAATAGACTGTTGTCCTCTTTCATTTCTTCTAGAATATATAACCCCTTTCTTCGGTATAATTTCAATGTCGAGTCGTTCAAATCGGAGACTATAAAAATGCGTTGTCTGAGTTCCTGGCATGTCCAAGTCTTATCTACTATCATTTCAAACGTTTGTTGGTTTTGAATCATCACTATGCAAACAACTTCGTTTGTAAAACAGTTTGAAACAACATAGTCGATTTCCTCTTCTTCAACTATCACATCCTCTTCATTAATTTCGGTAATAATACCATGTCTCATGATCTTCCGGAGAGTTAAGACTGTTTTTTTGTTTAACATCCCCCAAATCAAACTACTCCCACGGAGTAACTTGACTCGCTTTCGTTGGTCAACCCATTCAAGTGCATAATTCATCCACCCAAGTGATGTGTACTTGTCTGATATGAGTTCCATCATTATCAATATTTGATAAAAGAAGTGGACCAAGTCACTCACTTTAGTGGTGTTGTTATACACTATATTGACAGCAAAGCAATCGTATTGTATGATTATCGTTTTACTCTCTGATGGTACCAAATAGAGTTTATTCACATTTTTGTAAGGAAAGCATAACACATCCATCACGCCACTCACTGGCAAATTTGGAAATTGCATCTCAGTTATTTCAGTTTTCCCATTCTCGTCCGTGACCCGTTCAAAGTACCACATTTTGTCTGAGTTAAAATACTCCGAGTAATTATAAGTGAATTTGCCGACGTTCTTATCAAAAAGAAAATTGGTTTGACTCAACTTGAAGAGGGGAAGATTGTCGTTGATGTTCAGTGGTGTCTGTGGTGTTAAGCAAAATGCTTTCCTTGTGCTCCGGCTTTTTGCCAACATACAATTTTGAGTTCAAGTTTTCATGTTTTCCCATTCATTTTTGAAAAGGACTGAATTTCTTTCTTTGATTAAAAAATTTAATCAAAAAGTTTCAATGAAAACTTCGTTTGGTAATTCGTTAAAATGGACTTTGAAAAAACTAGTCAAAAATGCAAAAAACCGACAAAACGAATAACATTCTGAATAACAAAAAAAAGCATTTCACTTTTTGGGGAAGTTCCACCTTTTGGTGTTAGGGACAGGATTTGTGTACTGAGGGGGTTGTTCTTGCTTTGCCTCATAGACTTCATTGGACATTGTATCTTCGGTGTTACTTGTAGCTCCTTCCGAGTTTTGTGAATGTAGTGCAAATGGGAGGGATACATTCGTTGGTTTTTGATACTCGTCGAACCGCAAATTGCTTTCGATTTTTTTCTTTTTCGGAAGTTGAAATGGTTGGCTGATCAGTATTTGTTTGTCGACCACAGTTTCATTGATATCATTTTCAAGTTCTTTATATGAAATCCCAAGTTCGTTTAACTTGGATATTTCATTAACTCGTTGTTGTGTGTTGATTGATAATTTATACTTTACATCCACTTGAAAGTCCTTAGCATTTTCATATCTTTTGATCACAACTTTTTCAGTCTCTTGTGCGACAGGTATGTCCAAAAAGTTCAAATTCAGTAAATTCGAGTTTTGAGGTTTAGCTTTGACAACAACAATTTCATCTTGTTGCTCTTTCATTTTCATTCCCTCGATAAATTCGGTGTATCCCAATCGCAGTGCCGCTAGTAACGCATCTTCTACAGCGCCAATTTTAGCACATTGATCGACTGTTTTCTTCAATTCTTCTATGTCGATGTTCTTGCATTCATTACTCTCTGAAATTACGCGACACGCAAGTCGGCACAATGAAAGAGTCGTTTCATCCTTATTCACATTAACTCCATCATACACACATTGTAACGCAATTTCAAAGTTGTCGTTGTCACTCTTCATCGCATCGATAAACTCTTTGTAAATGGTTTGCACTGTTTTTGGATCAATGCCGACTTCAAATTGATCACTTGAATTCAACAACAAAATCCTGCAAACGGAGGAGCAATACCACTGAAAATCTGGTGTAAATTGTGAACACAAATAATACGATACTTTCAATATTTCATTCCTCACACTTCCCTTCCCAATGTCGTTCTTTAAGCTCTTTGCAATATCTAATAGACTCAACACTACACTTACTGCATCTTCCGAAGACACTACGCTCTTCAGTAATTTAATTGCTTGTATTGCAACAACTTCATTAGGGTTTTTAACAAACTCAGATATCGTCGTTATATTATTTCTACAGACAGTTGGGTCTTTCTCACTGATCACTTTCATCACATTAAGTCCACAATACACCACAAGTAAGTCATTCACTCGAAACAAATCCGCTCCGATGTTTGCAGACAGTTTCACAAGTCTGTCTGTCGCTATAGAAAACATCGCCGTTTTAATCGCCTCGACTTGCAACATTATTCCAACTCTCGTTTGCATCTTTCTGTAATTTGTGAGTAACTGGAAAATGGTTTGTTGATAATTTGTGTTCGTTGGGTTCATCACTCGAAGCAATTTTAATAATTTGACTTGGAAAAACGGTCCACAGGTATCCCCCAGAATATACCCTCTCAACTGGGCAGGTACTTTCTTCATGTCATCATATGAAGAAAACATGAGTAAATTTCTTGAAACGATATCGATCAGTCCAGGCCATATTCTATTCTCTGGTATTGTCGACGACATTATTTGTGTGATGATCGGAACAGATGACTCGACGACAAGCACAGACGAATCGACAAGTGCAAAACTTAGTGCGGATTTAATGATTGGTTGCACGTCTTTGTCCGACATCAAATACATTTTATACAGCGATCTGATAGCGGCAGCCCTCACATTTTGGTCTTTCGATTTCAGCAACAAATTGATGGAAGTGGTGTATGCTGGCATAGTCGTTGGTGTTAGGAATCGCGAGACAATTCGAAGTGCGAAGAGGGGGTGTGGCGATGTTGGGAGTAATAATTTTGTGAGTGAGTTAGTCAGAAGAAGGGTGAATTCGGAATCAGTTGATATCATCGCAGAACACGCTACTAACGCCGTTTTTTGGAGAAGAGAATTTTGGTGTTGTGTTGTGTTAATGATCATAAATACAGACTGCTCAACGTTATACCCCAACTCGTAGATAACCAACATCTTTTTGATATATTCTTTCATCGCAGAAGGATTAGTGTTGTCAAGTCCATTCCCAAGACTTTTTAAAGTCATTGAAACAAATCCATGTTCCTCATCGACTGTGTGCTTTTCTCCTATATCATGGACAAACGCACTAAACGGATTCATCTAGTTAATTATACTTTTTAAGTTCGGTCTGTTTAAGTGTCCAGAGCAATTCGTGTTGGACCGACATTGGGTGACGGGAAATATCTGAATATTTAAACTAAAGTTTTAATAATGATTTTTGTTTATTTTTGTTAAAAAATATTTTTTTTAACAATCTTTAAAAATAAAACACAATTTTCAACATCAATCTTACCTTTTAAATTGTTGATTTATTGTTCATGACTCTTGTTTGAAACCAGTCTTTGAAACGTCATTTATATATGATCAAAAATGTTTAGAAGGAGTATAATAAACTAAATTAAAACAATTAATACACATGCCACCACAACAATTCCAGTGATTATAATCCACCACAAAAGCGCACCTAGTGTTTCCACATTTATTATATTTCTGTTTTGAAAGTGATGACGAATTCTTTGCGGTTGTTGTGGTTCTTGTTCCGCCTTTTTTCTGAGATGTTTATGAATCAGTTTTCTGAAGTGTCCCTTTTGTGGTGGGAGGATTGTGGTATGTGGTGATTTTTCCATTAAACAGTGACCATCTACGATTTCAAGCGAAACTTCTTTGTGATACCTTTTGTTAAGTTTTTTGATTCGATTTTGAACATCTTTCTCCATATTTGCCCATTCCTCATTGTTTTCCAAAACAACTTGGATTGTGCCAACATTTGTGTCATGACACATGTAGTTGTCGACCACTTTGTGCATTGACAAAATATTCCTTCCATTTTTTGCGCTTAAAGTTGCTTCTGTTCTTCCATCGCAATCTCGTCATTATTTTTTTACTCAAAAAATTATCAAAATTAATTGACAATTTTCATTTAGCACTTTTAACAAGTATAATAATTTAATTATTATTATTTTAATTTTATTGGTTATTATAATCTATTAATTCAATAAATTCAAAATATTTTATAATTTTTAAACATTAATAAGTAATAAATATATTTACTATCATTGATACATTGCCAATGGATTTTTTTATTTTTAAAATAATAATTACACTAATTATTATTATTGTTCATTTGAAAACAATTTTTTTAAAATATTTTCAAATAAACTATCGGGAAACAGATGTTTGTTATTTCTATTTTTGGTACAAAAGAAAATAGGAATGGTTAAAAAATGAAATACAGAAACATACATCAAATATTGTAATTGTTATTCATTTGTTATTTTTCAAAGTAGTTAATTAATAATAAATAAACAATACAATATGTTTTGTGTGATAAAAATACATTTATTTGTTACAATTTTTTAGGTTTTTTGAAAAAGAATATTTATTTAAAAATTATTATTAAACTTATATCAAACCCCTTTGTTTGGTTAATTTAATTATATAGTCATTTAACTATTGGATTCTAATTTCAAAATCGCTTTGTATAAATGAAGGTAATTATTAATCTAAAAAAAAATAATATAGTAAAACATTAATTGTTTTTTTTTAAACGACTAGTAAAATAATTTCAACACCAAAATAATAAAACACCATGATAAAATGCTTTTTTTCATATAATTTAAAAATAAAAAATAAAAAACAAAATGCGTGTTTCTCAATTTTTTGGAATTTTTTTAAAAATGATAGAAAGGTTGGAATGAATAAACATTTAAGCCGAAAAAAAGGGGAGTTTAGTGAACCCCGTGAAAGACGAGAAATACAAAAAGTTCTGGTTGAATTTGTTTATCCTCGACAAACCGAACAATTTGAATAATCACGCAATTTCAATAGAATTTACGGTGTTAACACAATACACAAGAACACTTTTTACCATGTGTTGATTCAGGTTTGATCTCTTGAGGAGGTGCTGGTTGCTCCCCGACATACTCTTTTACTATTTCTTTCAGTATGTCCATCAAAACATTTCCGTCTGTTTGACAATCGACATCGTACCGCTTTAAATGGTACGTATCACACACTCCAACAAGTCCGCCGTTTGACGCATCCTCTTCTTTTGCCTTTGTCACTATCAAGTACCTTGCCTTTGGAGTAGATTTGCGATAAAATGGGCTGTTCAAAAAGCCGTTCAAAAACCCCGAATTGTTCTTGTCCTCCTTCGAAGCAACAAAGACGTGTATTAAACAATCGGATATGTACGAGTCGACCGTTGTCCTCGAGTTTTTTATTTGTTTGCCCGCGCAATCGCACTGCATCTCAGTTGTTGAACGTACTTCATTGCATGTAGAGCACTATACAGTTCAATTATAGTACCTTACTATAATAATAAAGAACAAACCACTTGTACAGTGAGATGCCGTCCGTCCGCCAAAATGACACTGACGGGGACCGAGTTGATCTCGTCTGTCTGGCTGTATACTGAGTCGAAACCTTCGCCCTAAGTGTTAGTACCACCGCAAAAAAAAACAAGAAAAACAAACTTTCCAAATATTTAAAATGGTTGTCTTCCCAGACCTCTCGCAGCCAATCAGACAAATCTTCACCTCCTTGTCGTGTTCAGCAGTATTCCCTTGTGACATAAAATCTGGTTTGAGATTTCAGATGTGAAAAAAGTTTCTATTTTTATGTTGTTGAAGAAAACACATTCCCATTTTTATCTTCTATTTTTACAAGATAATTTTGTTTTGTATAACATTTTTTATTTAACATAACATTTTAATAAAATGTTATACAAAATGTTATACAAAATGTTATACAAAATGTTATACAAAATGTTATACAAAATGTTATACAAAATGTTATACAAAATGTTATACAAAATGTTATACAAAATGTTATACAAAATGTTATACAAAATGTTATACAAAATGTTATTAATTAATTCGTGTTTTTATTAAAGTCGAACAATTGGGTAGAAAAATCCAAAGAAAAGTTTGAAGAGTTGAAAAAGGAAATGAAAAAGAGGAGAAAAATCATGGAAACTGAACTTGAGAAAACACAAGGCAATGGTCTTATGGCTTTTCCTTTGGATAGCCACTCTAGTAAGTAGTGAGACGTACTGTGATACAAATGATCGTTCTATAATTCTTGAGAGTCAATCGAGTTGTGCATACACACATGGATGGAGTTTTGGGACGTATGATGCACAAAAGGCGAAGTATACAGCTTTAAATATACCCGAGTATGATGTGTGCTTTGGTGACACACCATGTGACAACTTTCTATTCAGCGATAGCGGAACCCAACAATGCGTCGAAGAAATCACTATACAGAACCCGACGTGGGACGGCCATAAAATGCTTGTTATAGCGCCAAATTCATCGTTGAAGAAATTGACGATCAACCAGAAGGCAGCATCGAAGTGGTATATACACTCATTAAGTACCCAAAATGTGACTGTTGTATTCAACACGTGTTCTGGATGTAATCCACAAGCAGTTGTGTTGTGTTCTGATAACACACTGATCTACCAAAGTGCAAGCACCTCTGGTATAGTCGACTTAAAGTTCAAATCGTTTCCTCCAAATATGTTGATAGTTGGTGGTGGGACTCGAGTCTCCTATTCACAATACAATTCAAAAGCCGTTCAACAACTTCCACTTTTTGTTGGTAAGAAAGGGATACAATTGGGGAGTTTTTGTGACAATTGTAAGGAACCAAAATCTGTGTGTACTATGGGGGATTTCAAAAGGTATTCAGAAACGAGTCAAACAACATCAAACTGTCAGTGCACTCTTACTGATAATAATAAATACAATGTGGCTGATTGCCTGATGTTTTCAAGTTACTTTGCACTCACTGTTAATATTGACAATATGAAAGTCAACGGGTTTTGGAATAGTCTTAAAATCGGTTCGAATGTGAATACAATACAATCACTTGGAAATTTTGGAGTGAAGAATTGGATCACAATGGACATCACTATAACAGGTAATTTCAATGCAAATCAATTGACATGTTCTGCACAAACTCACTTTGATAATTTAACAGTTGAAACTATTGAAGGAATTGTGAACAACAAAATTTTGTTCTTCACGAAGAGTGCAAATGCACTTCCAGACACCGTCAAATTATTAAAATGTTCGAATGATGGATATAATAGAGTCGTTGGACTTGAATATGGCAACTTGTGCCAATGCACTCCAAAGAGTTATCCCGATATGATACCATTTGTCGAATCTGACTGTAATGATCTCGAAAACAAAGACTTGGTGTTGACCAATAATGTGAATATAAATGAAAATATTAAAGTGAATGGAATATACTTTAATAACAGTCTCAACATTTCTATCACATCTGAATTTGTGTTAGAAGCAAACACTTTCAATTGTGACCAACGAATCTTTGTATTTGGAAAAACAAAGATCACCACATTAAACATCAAACAAGGCTGTGAATTGATTCTCGACGCTATACCAGAATTGAAAAATGTCGAAGTCACTTCTACAGAGCAAGTTGTGTTCATTGGACCTTATTCTGACAACCTTCCAGATGGCATAGAAATAGGGTGCGATGTTAATAAAAATGAAGTGAGGTATGTTGTTAAAGGAAGTATTGTAGGATGTTATTGCACAATAAAAGAAGGAAGTGTAGATGATTCTCAATTGAATCAATGGGATTGTACTGACTTGAGTTCATCAAAAACGTTATTAGTGACGACTTCACAGTCAATGACAATTAACAAAAGGTGGAGAAATGTAATTTGCAGAGAGACGTGTTTCTTAACATTCACAACAATCGTCGAAGATCAAGTCGTTGTTTTACAAGACGCGGAACTAAGTAATGGCGAATTTAACATTCTTAATGTAACTCAAAACAACAGTCATATCAAAACAAATGAATGTGTTATTAATGAATTGGTTGCAGAACATGGATTCTTCTACACATCAACCGGTCAAACGATACCATCAAATACTTTTGCTCTTTGTGATATTTCACCTTACAGAGTCTCTAATGACAAATTGAATATTACGTGCAATTGTCATGTTATTGGTGACTCTTTTGATCTTTGGGATTGTAACGATTATTCACAGTATCGAACATTAATTGTAGATAGTGATATATCCAATCAACACTCTTGGAATATTTTAAAAACAACTACTGGTGTTACTATTAATTCAAGTGGGTGTGAGATTCAACAACTGGAAGTTACTTCGGATTTACGTTTTAATGGCAAAGATAGCGAAACAATTGTTATCAACAAAATTGTTTTTCCAGAAGTTATTCCTCAAATTTACTTTATTGGAAATATCACTGTATATAATGCGGATATAAATGAAATACCACAAGATCAAATACTCTTTTTATCCACTAACAAACAAGAATACACAATTTTTATATCTTCTTGTTTTGTGGATGGGTTCTATAGAAATAGTATGACGAATATTGGATGTAATTGTTATTTAAATGAAAACGGGTTTGAACAATGGGACTGTGTCACAAGATCAAGTGTTTTAACATTAGTTCTAACTCAAGATATAGTGTATACCAATACTGTTACAATATGGAATGCACTCTTAACAACCCAACAAGTTAAGCTTATAACACCAAAAAAACTTGTGTTTCAACTGTTTAAAGCGGAGTATGGAATTGAAGTTGATGGCGAATTATCGATCATGAGTGTCGTTATTCAAACACCAGACTTGATTTTATTTGACGTTGTATCAATTGATAGTGTTACACCATTCGGACCGAATAGTGATGTTCTCTTTGTGGCAAAGAATTTTTCTGGGAGTGCAAAGGTGTTAAAGACATGTGAAGGGGAGTATAGCCGATTCAGTCCAATTGACAACAAAATAGGATGTTATTGTACAAGTGAATATAATAATGATTCATTTTCGCAAAATGATTGTGACACATTCTCTACTGAACGAATTCTTAAAATAACGTCCAACGATTTTCAATTGAGCCAAATAAGAAGTTTTAAACAATTGGAAGTGACGAACTCACAAACAACTGTTGTTAATGGAGCGGATTTGTATATAGAAGAATACACACACGTGTACCCCGTCATATTTAAAAATGTCATCAAGATGGGTATTCTTCACTTCGAAAAATTGAATGGAAAAACGGCATTTCTTCAATTTTACAATCCTATTAATATAACAACAATTAATACAACAAATGTTGATCAAAGTGATTTACTTTTTGTTGGTCCAAAAGAATTTGACATGAAACGTGTTAAGTCAAGTTCTATTGAAGTTGTTTGTGACGATGGAAATACCTCGAGGTATGGGGTAGTTAACTCACAGATTGGGTGCTTATGTTCTGCTCATACTATTGGTGAAGAAGCAGATTACGACGTTTCGGATTGTGCATTTTTCGACACGACAAAAAATCGCGACTTTGTCGTGAATGGGATCGTTTCTATTACAAAGGAAACGCATTGGAGAGATATGTATATCCAAAGCACAGAAAGTGCAGTGAATGGAAATTCTCAAATTTCATTTGTCACTTGTAATTTCTCTGACATAACAATTGACATCAGAGTGGCACAATTTGAATGTTCTTATGGCGTGTTATTTCACAACTCTCAAATAACACTCAGTGGTATTTTAACGGTAGACAAAATGAGTTTTCAAGGAAGTGGTAATTTGGACAAGAACGTGCTTATAGAAGTGTTGAATGGTGGAGTGAACATGAGTGATTTCATAGCGGAGAATTTGGACGATTGTGTTGATTTATTGGGAAGCAACAGTTCAATAAATTCTACTATTCAAACCACTTCAAATTATGAAGTGTTGAATATTAACAACAAACAATTAGTCAGAGTGTGTCAAATGAATAACAGTGTCACAACAGCGACTTGTGTAGTTTCTTCTGAGAAATTAAGTGAAGCACGTTATGAAATGGTTTACTGTCCCTGTGTTGACATTGATTGTTTCTATCAAGTTGGTAAAAAGATTGATTTGGAGTGTACACCAATACAAATGAAAACCAAAGAACCAGAAATTGAAGTTTTGGAAGTTGGAGAAGTGACGTTTGGAGGAAGTAGTGGAATTATTGTTGACTCTGTTTGTAGTCAAAACATTTTGAAATTTGACAAATTAAAATTTCTTAAAACATATACCTTGTTGAATGCACTAAATCTTGATGGAAATTATATCGAACTTCTTTCATTGCAGTCTGACATCAAAATCACTTCGGATATGACAATCAACACAACAGAATACAATTCAAAACCAATTACAATTAGTTCATTTGTTAATGAAATTACTTTTAATTGGATCACATCACATGACAATTACACAGAAAGTGTTTTAAAGACCGAAGAGAGTGTCACCCCATTAACAATACAGTTTGGTGAAGAAATAGATCATACAACATATCCAACGTTGTTTGTTAGAAATGTAGGAAGACAAATAATTTCAACGCATTCATTTACATGTGGAAATCAAGCAATAATTCTTGGTCAAAATGATACAAATGATGTTTGTGAATACTTTGGACTATCACACCAGAAGTGTGTTGCTGTCAACAACGAAGTTTATAACACTGAAAATGGACAACGAGACTTTTCATGTCCATGTTTAGTTGAAAACTTTGATTGTGTCATTAAAATCACAGAAGACTACGTTTCAACCACTTTTGACATGTGCAACACAACTCCATCACGAGTAGAAATATGGAAAGGCTTGATAGTCAACGGGTTGAAGAACAAAGTAGTCGCCTTGGATATCAAACAGGGTGATACCACCTTTTATCTAGTTGATTCAATGGTCTATCTTTCATTCAACAACAATTCACTAATAATGTTTTCTGCTATGAATTCATTACTTGTCTCAACCACTCCTCTCATATTCACACGAATGGCAACAAACTCTATACAACGAAAATACACTCAAAATGAGACTTGGTTTTCTGTTCAACAAGGAGGATCTTGTGAATATGCCTCAGTGAGTACGTCTGTTGAATGTCTCATGTGTGCACGTAAGTATTACTTAAAAGAAGGAAATTGTTACGAAAGTCAAAAAATGCCAAATTGCCTGTCTACTGTTAATTCAGAGTGTTATAATTGTGAAAATGGCTTCTATTTAGTAAATGAGAGCTGCCTCAAATGTATTGAAATATTTCCAGATTGTCAAAGCTGCAACCAATATGAGTGTTTGGCATGTCAAAACAACACTTGGTTGAATGAAAACAACACATGTGTTGATGACACCTCATTTGCAAATTGTGAAGTTCAGGGTGGTGTTTGTCAAAAGTGCAATGACGCGTTTTGGTTCGACTTTACAACACAAAAATGTGAGGAATGTAGCAGTGGGTGCGCCAAATGTACAAATTTGACTGTTTGTGAATCGTGTTCTATAGGTTATCAAAAGGATGAAAACTTGTGTATTCTGTCACCAAATTCATCAGAAGTAGTATGGTGTAATGTCATATCATGTGAATATGGGTTTTATGTGGTTAACTCAACATCAAATGATACAGAGAGTGCGTTTTTATCATCAGAAGGTCCAAACTCTATATGTGGGCAGACTCATTGTGTTTCTTGTGCGCATTTAACACCAAATTGTAAATATTGCGACACCGCATCGTGCTATTTATGTGAAGAAGACTTCGTTTTACAAGACTCTCAATGTGTCAATAAAAGTGTTACACACTGCAAAGATATTCAAATCGAAGAAAACACAACAACAATTGAAAACTCCAAATGCAAAGAGTGTGACAACTATTATTATCTCAATGATTTGGGCCAATGTACTCAATGTGCAAAAGGGTGTTTGGTGTGTCAAAATAGCACAGTGTGTGATCGTTGTGATAGTAAACATATTAAAAGTGGTAACAAGTGTGAGAAATATAACAACACGACGCTCATAAATATCAACTGTAAAGAGGTGAAAATAGGAATGTGTACACAATGTGTTGATGATTACTATTTTCTTCCAAATAGTAATACATGCAGCAAATGTGAAACTCCGAATTGTGCTATGTGTGTTAATAACACTTGTTATAATTGTGAGACTGGTTATTTCATTAACGACTTCAATGAATGCATTTCATCAAACAACTCCAATTGTAAAATTCCGTTTTTGAATGATATTGGGTGTGTTGAATGTGACGATGGCTTCTATCAAAAGGAGATCAAATGTTATAATTGTTCTGAGCAATATCCAAATTGTCTGAGTTGTGTTGAAAACAATTGTCTGCAATGTGGAGACGACTATTTTGTGAATGAAGGAGGTCGATGCGAGAGTGTTGATGCCTTATTACATTGTGTTACAATCGACTATTATCATGGATGTAGTGAATGTGAGAATGGATACACTTTATCCAGATATAAGTGTGTACCGTGTGCTTCGCATTGTAACTTATGTAGTCAAATAGACTGTCAGTTATGCGAGGAAAACTATGTCAAGATGAATAACAACACGTGTATATATTACCAATCCATTCCACATTGTGAAGAGAGTAATGGCGTTATCTGTGTTTCATGTTCAACATTATACAAATCAGCAGATACATCATGTCGACTGAACGTTGTCTCCATATTCTTTTTAAGTGTTTTTTGCATTATCCTTCTTCTAGCTCTACTCATTGGAAGTGCTGTACTTATATCATATAACGTTATTAAGAAGAAGAAACCAATTGGAAGTGGGTATGTCAATATAGACAGTGGTATCACCACTTTTCCAATGAAATACAGTACAATCAAATTTATAAATCTGAACCCATCCTCCTCAGTGTTATTTGACAAACGCAGTCTCTTGTTTGAAGGTGGGCTTGAGAACATTGGAGTAAACGTAGAGTCACGAACGCTTTTCTGTATAGCGAACCCTTCACGTAAAAAGGTCTTTGTGACGATCACTTGTATTGAGACGAAATACCCCAAATTTCAAATGCGGTTTGAACCAAGCACGGTCTGCATTCCGGAGCACCAAGCGTGTGAAATTGAAGTCTTTGTGAAACCGTTGTGCTCTTCACATGTCAGTGATTATGTAGTAGTCTTGTCCCAAGAGCTTCAAAAGAAAGAGTCCACCACAGATGTGATTCCATTCAATTACACCACAAAGTTATCGACTCGAATCGATCCAGATGAGTTACTTTGTCTTCGAAAAATAGGAGAAGGAGGGTTTGGTGTTGTGTATTATGGTTCATTCCATGGCAACGAAGTTGCAATTAAGAAAATGAAGCAGATGGAAGGTGTTGGGAATAGCCAATGTGAAATTGATGAATTTGAAGCCGAGGTTTCCATGCTCGACAAGTTTAGAAGTGAGAATATCGTCTTTTTCTATGGTGCAGTTTTTATTCCAGATAAGATCTGTATGGTAACTGAATATGCCAAATATGGGAGTCTCAGAAACTTAATGAAGAGCAAGAGTGAGATAGTCTTCGACTTGAAATTGAAGATCTTAAAAGACTCCACAAAAGGTATTCAATATTTACACCGAAATGGAATAGTCCACAGAGACATCAAACCTGACAATATCTTAATCTTTTCATTGGACTCTAATGTCGTTGTTAACGCTAAACTGACTGATTTTGGATCATCAAGAAATATCAATATGCTGAAGGCCAATATGACATTCACTAACTCAAAGGGATCTCCAGCTTATATGGCTCCTGAAGTACTCAACCAAGAACGGTATGGAAGTCCGGTCGACATCTTTGCGTTTGGAATAGTCATGTATGAGGTGTGGACTTGGAAAACGGCATATGCAAATGACGACTTTAAATACCTGTGGAAAATTGCAGACTTTATATGTGATGGGAAACGATTAATGAAACCAAGTACTATGCCTGAGTGGTATTATATTATCGTTAACAAGTGTTGGCAAACCAATCCACTTGATCGAATGAGTATCGAAGAGGTGATAGAAATGCTAGACTTCGGGATGAATGCGTTCTTGTAATTAATTATCACTTATTTTATTTAATAATATTATTATAATATTAATATTATAATAATACTATAATAAAACTATTATCGTGAGTAAATTACTTTTGTGCTTCAGTCTCTTGTGGTTGAGCTTCTTCACCGTTTTGGATGAAGTCTCCAAACGTCAAGTCTTTGTCTTCTTTCTTTTCTTCTTTAACAACTTCTTTTACTTCTTCCTTCACTTCCTCATTAATTTCTTCATTCTTCTCTTCAACGACTTCTTGTTGCACAACAACGTGCTTCATTTCATCTTTTTGTTGTTCAGAAGGTTGTTGAATTGTCTCTTGAGAAGCTTCTGGTTTAATAATATTTTGTTCGAGGATTAAATCTTTTTTAAACCCATTAGGAGCGGGAGTTAAGAAGTCCAAATTGACGACATTGACAGGTGGAGTGATTATACAGTTCACAGGTGGTTGATTGCTTCTAAAGAGTTCAATTTCGAACATATAGTTCTTTTTATCTCCTTGGATATTAAAGAAATCAAAGGAGAGGAAATAGGAGACGGTGAAGATGTTTCCAACGTTCTTCATCGACGGTGACAACGGCAATTTTTTCAAGAAGATTCTAATAGGCACAATGTCATGACCAGCTAACGCCCCATCTACCAATTGCATAGTCTTCAATGGTTTTGCAATCTTTTCCGTCATAGGTTTCCCGGGAATTTGAACAAATTCCTTTCTGACCAAAGTCAGATCTATTTTGGATAAAGCAAAGTCAATATTAGTAACAGCCAAACTTCCCATAAGGACATCATCTATAGCATAGACGTTTTTCGTCAACTTCAATTGGAAATTGGACGTCGAGACTTTTATAGTTTGATCGAGACTTTGAGTCATTGGGGGGGTATTAGGTACAACAAAAGCAATTTCAGTTTCCACGGGACTTGATGGCGATTTCGAAAGGATGTTCACTCGGAGGACATACTTCAGTCTCATGAAAGCACCACTGAACGATTCGTATTGCTTCAATGGAGCAAATTCAAAGGGATACATCACTTTTTGACTGGTCAACACTCCCGGTCCGCACAAATCAACAGACATCTCAACAACATTTTGTGGGCGAAGGCCACTTTGGCATTCTACTCATGAAAACTATATTATTATAATAAAACTACTATAATAAAATACTAAATAAAGACAACAAAGATAACATGAAACAAACCAAATACACCAGACAAGACCAGTTTAATCCCATTGTGTTGGAGTCCTTTTCTTAAGTTCGACATTTCTAATAACACTTTCCCTTTGATCGGGTCTTGAGGACCAAAGACCAACAATTGGACTTCTTGTCCTTTACGTTCGACAATCACTTTTTGTCGCAAGTGGTCGTCCTCAAACATTATTTCAGCACCACTTGGCTTGTTCGCACCACCAAACCACGACTGCTAGTTAGTATCTTTCCTTAGAACCAAGAGCATTCCACAAACCATCTTCTTCTATATAAAGTTCTTTTTAAGTTCTCTTAGAAAATTCGGTTTACTCTTCATTGAACTTCTAAAATGTTATTAAAAATGTTTTATTATAACGTTCAATTAGTCGGCTTGTTCATGCTCATAGACCTCGCCTGCGCACTACGCTTCTTAATCCCCATCGGTAGAAACCCAAGAACGCTCAGCTTCTGCTTTTTCGTTAGTACTTTCCTTTATACAACCAACCAAAAACGTGAAAAATTAACGAGTAAAAAATAATGAAAATTTTATCTCAATTGAACGAAAATTATTAGCGAGCTGTTTCCAAAAATTCAAAACAGCTCGTTAAATAACTTATTATGAAAATTACACCGTTAATTTATTTCATAAATTTGATGATTTTCCGTGTTGGAGGACAAACTTCTGTAGGTTCCTGTTCTTTATCTTTTGAGGGGGGGTTATCTCGTGCTTGTTGCATGATGAGTTCCTGAGTTTTAGCTTGGACCACATTTTTCTTAGTTCTGACCTGTGATTGGAGTTCGAAAATCTCTTCGCGGACCTTCAGTACTTTGAGTTGATATCCTTCGACAACGCCATCGAACTTTTCGACGAGTTGCCTGATGTTGTTTTCGTCTTGGATGTCGACAATGACATTTGGGAATTTAGGTCTGGAGACCCCAATTGTACTTGCAAGTGTTCCGTCGATATCGACTAACATCACAAGTTGTTCGAGCATATCGGTATGTCCTCTTCTCCTTAAGAAGTCACAAAAGGACTTGAACTTTTCTTGGTTCGTGGTTGCAAATTTGTTAATTTGAAGAAGAATGTCTTTAGTGGTCCCAGACAGCAAAGATGGCCGGATTGGTGTTTGTACAACAACTTGTGGATTTGTCGAGTTTTCTGAGACACTTGTTAGTAATTCAGTCACGTTGGGATACATCTTGACGACAAATTCAGTGAAGGGTTCCATCAACTTTTCTTGGAAAGGCTTTGCTGGTTGGTTCACACATGCTTGTGTGATCTTAGTGATTAAGACAAGTGTTCTTAAAGCAATTGGTGATGGTTTGGTGAGTTTAGTAGAGAACTTTTGAGGAGTCAGCAAGACCGGATTTAACAGTCGCAAGAAGACAAAAGCGCCGACAATTTTCAAGGCTTCGACATCCCCATATTTCGCTTTAACAGCTTGTCTCACGCGTGTAAAAGTGTATGTCAACTCGGGTGGAAATTTTTGTGATAAGTGTGTGACCTCCTCGAAAAACTTGACAACAAATTTCGTCACATAAGAAACGTTTTCTCGACATTTAGTCTCGTCGACCTTCGTAGGGTCGACTTCCAAAGGTTCTTGAATAGCGTTGATCTCTACCAATAATGGATTAATATATTCCATTAACAATTCTTCTGTTAATTTTCGACATAAAGCTGCTGTGACATATGTGACACCTTTATTTGATCGAAACAATTGTGTTTCTGACACTATAGAATAAGTCCAACTCCTTACCTTTGTTAATTGATAAATCAATTTCTTTTAATATATTTATAATAACAACAAACAAGTGTACTCAACCTCTTCGGAGAGTTGATCTCCTAATATCCCGCAAAGAATTCCTCGGTCATAAATGAGCTTCAAAAAGTTGTCCCAAAAAATCGGGTTATCGTCGGTGTATTCCCTTACTACCGTTTTCACAAAAAAGTAGTCGAACGTTTGACATATCTACTTATCAACACTTTCTTTTTTAAAAAATTATAGATATCAAACTCTCCAAAATGTTAAAACGCTTGTATTATCTTGTCTTGACGGAGACATTTCTCTTTACTTTTTGTAGTTCTACAAACTTCAAAATAGAAGTTATTTATTTAGCACGTTTTTATATTTTCTTTATTAAATTCAATAGTTTATTTATTATATTTTTATTAGTTACGTATAGTTTCAAACCTTTTGATTATAAGTTCCTTCAAAAATGACGAACTTGAAATGATCGCATATCCGCACTACGTAACTCACTTTCTTCAATTTTTCTTTCATTATTCTAGCAAACAATTTATTGACACCTTTTTGTATTTGAGCATCAACTCTTAATCACATATAAACCACTTATGAGTGTTAAAGAGTCGCACTATAAACTTGAAAACTAGCCAATCCCTTCAATTTGCACTTCGTTTTGAAAACAAAAACCACAAAGCTTAGATGAATTTAACGAAGTGAGCAGAGACCCACCCTCTTGTCCCATCCTTCGTTTCAGCACCGAGCCATCCCTCAGGGTCTTGGTCATCAAACACAATAAGTTTTTGACCTCTTTGAATACTCAGTTCAGTCTCTGCTGACGCTTCATAGTCATGTAATGCTACCGCGTACTTCTCTGGGGGTGTACACTTTCTTATATCGTTGTCAAATATTTCGTCATCTCCGATGTTGTCGTCTTCATACTCTTCTTCGCCTTCTCCCTCAACGTACTGTTGATCTTCGGGGTATTGTTCTTCGCCCTGTTCATCATAATATTCCTCTTCTTCTTGCACTTTTTGATTGATCGGAGCTGCTGCGAATGCACCACCTCTTTGTTGTACAGGGGGTGGTGGTGGTGCTTGTTGTTGAACTGAGACAGTAGCGTATCCTCTTTGTTGAACAGGTGGGGGTGGTGGAGCCGATGTTGCGACACTATTTCTAGCAGGGGGTGGAGGAGCAGCAACAGAGAATTGTGAAGTTGGAGGGGGAGGGGGCGCAGCAATTGGTGTTGTTTGTATTTGAGGAGGTAATGGAGCTGTGTCGAACCCGTCACGAGGAGTCGAAACTGGTTCTGCCTTAGCTTTTTCCTTTTCTTTTTTATCTTTATGTTCGTGATGTTTGGAGTGTTTTTTTCTTTCCAAAGGGGGGAGTCCTTTTGATTTTCTGACTTGGTTAATAAGTTTCCGGAAATTTTCACGCCAGTATTCTCCTTCTTCTTCGCCGTCGACTATTAATTTCCAAGTACGTTTTTCAGTGACTAATTGGAAACCATAACGCATTGATCCATCTTTATCTTTGTTTCTAGTTGTTATCATATCAGTCACTTGAGACATATCTATGTGACCTTTAAGTGTTGTGCAGGAGTCATTGGTATAATAGTCGAGTCGAAATGGATTACGGGGAGTGGTCTGAAACCATCTCTTCTTCCAACTCTTATGTCCTCCACCTTGCTTTGTCACCCATCCACGTACTGCAGGAATCGAGTCTTCTTCAACATCGAAACTCATTTGATATTTTTATATTTTCAAGTTCTCAAGTGTTATTTCTTTTTTTCTTCAGCTTTTTTCTTCTCCAAAAAGAAAACAGAAAAGTTGGTCTTTGCTGTTTTCATTGGAAGGAATAATCGGGAGTTTGGTCTAAGTATTCCAGTATTTCACGCCGTCTTTTTTGCACTATATTTACTAACTAGAAGCATTATTTGGATATAGTCTTGGACCGACAGATTTTACTTTGATTCTCTTGATCGTTATAGTTATCATAATTTATTGTTATATATACTATAATTAATTATACTTGACCAAGAACAATGACATGTTAGTATATGTTGCCTTTTCTAGTATATTATTTTAAGGATTATATTTTGTGTATAAAACAAAGAGGAAAAACTGAATTATTGAATAAATACTTATTAGCTTGTTTTCCCAAGTGTGACTGAAATATGTTAAATTTATTGTTTGGACATTTTATTCTATGTTTAAACTTGCAGAAAGCAATCTTTACAATAATGTTATAAATAAATTTTATATTTATTAGTTTATATATTATTTTTTAAAACTAAAATGGCAACTTATTTTTATTTTTTTACCAATTTGCAAAATACACTACATATAAATAAAACTTCAAAAAAAAATTCGTTAAAAGTGATTTAGTTATAGTTTATTTTATAGTTACTCTAAAACAATTGAAACTATACTAAATTACCCAAAAATGTTTTTAGCCCTTTTATTGAACTTAAAAATAGGGTGATACATTTCTGTTTGTAAATATCTCATAGTTTTGTGTAAACTATCTATAATGATTTTTATACTATTGTATTTTATTATTTGATTTAAAAAATTACAGATAAAAATCATAATACAAAAAAATGATAAATATTTTAATACTTAATAGTTAAATTAATTTAAAAAGTATTGTTCAATTTACTAATGATTACTTTTTTGTCCAATCAAGTTAAAAAATAAAAAAATTTTAATTTCCTAAAAATACATTTCTAAAAAGGGTTTTTGATACACAATAAAATAATTATACTATAATTGAAAAAGTAACTATAATAATAGAATTTGTTTACTATATTAATTTAAACTTTAATTACGAAACTATAATATAAGTATTTATAGTTAATTTTTACTATTAGCAAACTGCACTATTATTATAGAGTTAAAGTTTGATTTGGTACAAACTTGACTAAATAACAAAAATTGTAAATTTATTTCTTCGACGTATTGATTAAGTCGATAAGTGGTTGTGCGACAGGAGTCGCAGGGGATGTGATAAATGGATGCCACAAGAGAGTGACTGCGTCTGGCCGTTGTGTGTAGTCGAATGTCAAACACTTCCCCACAAAGTCGACAAGTTGTGAGCTCCACATTTTAGGGTTTTTAAATCCCGGTATTTTTTGTTCAATACATTGCAACAATTGGTCGAAAGAAGCGACTTGTCGGTTAGGTGGATTACCTTCAGCCATTTCAATGACAGTAATTCCAAGTGACCAAATGTCCGTCTTATTATCGTAGAATGATTTTTTAATCACTTCAGGTGACATGAATAAAGGGCTTCCAATGAAGTCGTCTGCCTTCTTGTCCTCGTTATCTTTGTATTGTTGTGACACACCAAAATCAGCCAATTTGACTTTTCCATCCAAAGACAACAAGATATTACCCGCTTTAATATCGTGGTGGATGATTTTAATACTATGCAAATAGACCAACCCTTTCAGTGTTTCATTCAAGACATACCGCATTTGATCCTCATTTAAATTCTCCATCGTCTTCTTCATCAAATCCTTCACACTCCCTACCGCACACAAATCCATTAAAATCCAGAGAGTCTTTTCGTCAATTTTGATCGTCCCATAGTAACTCACAACATTCGATGATCGGCACTTTTTCAAAATATCTATTTCACTCTTTAATGCGTCCGTCTGCTGCTTCTCTACTGTCAATATCTTAATCGCCATTTCAAAGTTGGACTGTCGGTGGACGGCTCGATACACCGTACCAAAACTGCCGGTTCCCAACACTTCTTTTAAACAGAAAATTTCGTTTGGATCACTCCCCGATGTGTCCCACTCCAAGTCAAAGGTGACATGTTGCAAGTGTTGGACATTTGTAGGCGCACCAGTGCACTCTCTTTGAATTAAGTCTGCCCAAGTCTCGAGTTCTTTAGGGTCTTGTGACGTGAATTGATACTCTCCTTCACTTGTCCTGATCTCCAAGTACTCATCGCCCTTCGGTCCTTTCGTCAATTCAACTCGTGCTAACAACAAATCGAAGCACCCAAATGGCACATTCTTGTCTTTCCCATCAGGCTTCTGGTCGAAGTAAAACAACTTGTTTCGCGTTAAAACACACCATCGCTTCTTTCTTGTTTGCATCTTCTTCAACTTCTCTTTCAGAAGAAACCCCTCTTTGACGATGTTTTTACGATCTTTGTACTCGTCCGTAATGAACGAGTCGGTGTACATCTCTCTCCCCATCATCTTGATCATATCGCTCAACATCTTCTTCCACTTCTCATATTCCTTGAGTGTTGAAAATTTGACTGATCGCTGATTATTCAAATGAACAAAAGTGAACTCTTTCTCCGCCGCTATGGTTAACACTTTGGACTCGTGGATATAAAATTCAAACAAGCTTTCACTCTCCGCGGGAGAGTCGAAGCAAAAGACAGTCCCCGAGTTCATCATTAACCAAGCCTTTGTTTTCTTATTCACAAGTACAACAGAGAAGTCGGTGGATTCTTGGATCATTTTCATCGCTACTGTAGAGACTACACAGGGTTCATGCTCGACTAAACACTTTTTCCACGACAAATACTCTTCTTCACTTTCACAAGCAAAGTGATATAAAGCGGGTTTGTTCTCGTACGAGAACACAAATTGCTTTTCAGAATCACTGCCAAGGAAATTAATACAATCTTCTTTAATTTGCATCTTCCCGATGGGGATCTCGTCTTTCGGATTGTTATAGTAAAACAAGAACCCACGACAAAGAACAACCCACCGGCGTTTCCACCCCGAAACAGTCGATAATTTCTTTTTGAGTAAAAACCCAACCTTGTCGGAGTTCAAGTAGATTTGCTGATAATCTTTCTCGTGGGGAACTACACGTGAAAGTCGCGCCATAGCCAACGGTTTATTCAATCCTTTCACTTCGATCGTGTCGTTATCCCCAATACCATAAAAGTCAAGTGTGTTCGTCTCAACAAGTTTAATCCCATCGTTGAAGCACGAAAATTCATACGCTTTTTGCTCTGTGTTGAGACCGCCGCGAATTTGAGCTAATATATCGGAGATCTTCGTCGACTTCATTACTTGTTTTTCAATATCCTTTGTCTTGTTATCTAATTGCAGTGATATCTTGATCGTGACGGGCTTTGGAGGTTCACTCATCGTCTGTGGATCTCATAATTCTTACGACATTTTTTGGCGTTTTTTGATGGATTTGGATATTGACCTTTTTATGAAAATATTTTAGGTATTCTCCATTTCATTGATAGGTTGAAATAAACTAATTTTACTATATAATGTTGGATTGGAAAAACGATTGAATTTGGAAAAAAATTTGTTTCACTCAACCAAAAAATTCCAAATACTTGCAAATCTTCTTCTCGCAAGAATTGTACTTTTTGTTCTATAATTGGGCAGAACATCTTTTTATTTTCAAGTTCATTCAAGTATGGTTTATATTACTATTATTTTATCATTATTTTATCATTAATTCTAAATTTGAGCTTAACATCACTATTTTGCTCGTTTTAATTGTCACAATCCCCAATATAATACTTCAGTTATAATATAATTAACTATTATTATTAAAATTGTTTATAATTTGTCTTTACCATACCATTAAAACTAATTATTAATTTGTAAATAAAAAAGAGTGAATAAGTAAAATCTAAATAAACGGAAACTCATTCAATCAGTAGAATATGTATTATTAAATATAGAATTAGTAATAAATGAATTTATTTTATTTGTTTCTATTAAAAAAATCTTACAAAGAGTATTATAAATAATAATAAACAAAACTATAAAAATTGGTACACTTTTGAAAGGAGATGTAACATTAATTTATAACTATATTTATAATAAATATATGGTACAATTAATAAAATAATACTAAATGACTTGTTTACTCACTAAACTCAAATTGTGTGTCGTCACCCAAGTGAACTGTTTCATTTTTGTGTTTTTCGCTTTCTGTTATTTCAGGTTGACTCTTTTGCTCGGGACTTTTCATCTCGACTTCGAAGACGTCGTCCATTCTTACCTTCCGTTTATTAAACACGCCATTCAACAAGCCAAGAGGAAGTGTAACCAACGCCAATGCAATACAAATAATCCACTGCACAAACCCAATTCCAGGCGATGATTTTACACCGAAGGTTGCACCAGAAAATACAACGATTCCGATTTGAACTAATATTTGAACCAATTCGATTCCGATGAAAATGGTGTTTGTGAAAATTCCTTTGAACACGTCTGTCTCTCCGTTGACCCTCCGCGAGTTGACCTCGTTGAATATTTGACAGAAAACAAATGTATTGAAAATGATTGTCTGAAGCGTTTTAGTGTCTTCAATAACATCATCAACAGGGTGCGCCTTCCCATCAGAACATTGATATAACTTGCCAGGATAGTCTTCTATAACACTCATATACCCACATGGCGCGTTGATTATCGACATTAATGACCCAAAGAAGAGTAATGTGAGTAATATGAATAATTGGTACACAACTTGAATAGCTATTTTAATGATCATCTGCTTTGAAAGAAGGCCATCAGTACGCTTGAATGGCTTTCTCTTTAATAACTCCATTGTGGGCTTTTCAGTGCCGAGAGCTAAAGCAGCCAATGTGTCCATAATCAAATTCACCCATAACATTTGCATCGAGTTCAGTGGTGATCCCATTTGACATATTGAACCAATGACACACAATGCCAATGCAGAGATATTCACAGTCACTTGGAATTGAATGAATTTACGAATGTTGTCATACACACACCTTCCCCACACAACGGCTTTGACAATCGAATTGAAATTGTCATCAAGAATAACTATATCGGCAGCTTGTTTGGCAACATCAGTACCTCTAAGACCCATAGCTAATGCAACATCGGCTTCTTTAAATGCAGGAACATCATTTGTCCCATCACCAGTAACTGCAACGACTTCCCCACTAATAAGTAACCGTTCTACAAGTCGCTGTTTGTCTTGTGGACTACATCGCGCTAAAATTTTTAGACGCGGGAGAACACGATCGAGTGTTGTGTTGTCCAACTCACTGAAATATTTCCCCTCCATCGCAATTTCGCTTGAAGCAACATCAGACTTGCCATCGTATATTTCACATTCGTGTACAATACCACATTCTTTCGCAATACTAATCGCAGTCGAGACATGATCACCAGTAACCATCTTAACACTGATACCAGCTTCTACACAATTTTCAATCGCACCTGGAACTTCATACCTCACAGGATCACTGATGGCAACAACACATATTAAAGTACTCTCTTGACCCGAAATTCTCTCTTGAAGATCTTTCCTTTCAGACTCTTCAGGCTTTAAATGACGATATGAAAGCGCGATAACTCGTTTACCCAAGGAGAACCAGTTGTTGACACATTCGTTGATGTCTTGGCGATGCTCTTCAGTTAAATCAACCTCTTCGTTATTACTGTTCAAATAATTGACACAGTCGGCAATGATCATTTCGGGAGCTCCTTTGCTATATAAAACGTTGTCGACGATCGTATCCATTCGCTTACTCTCGGAAGTGAATACCCATTGTCGCGATATCTCATAAGACGTTCGTATAGTCGAGCACGATACACCCAATTTCTTGAGAAGGAGTAACAAAGCGCACTCCGTCTTGTTTCCGATAGTTTTATTATCTGTTGTTATATTAGAAGAGAGTGATGAATTCAGGGAAGCATTCATAGTCAACGCCTTTTGTATTTCGGCTGGTAAATGGAAGTCTGCAGTGACTTCAATAGAGTTGTTGTCGACCCAAATAGCTGTTACATTCATTCGATTCTCTGTTAATGTTCCAGTCTTGTCACAGCACTAATCATTAATTCACATCTTTTAAGAACGCTGTATTAAAAACAAACTATACAAGTGGCATTCGACATCGTCTCACACGCTTTCAGGTGGCGCACCAAATTATTATCTTTGCACATCTGTTTCATTGAATATGCCAACGACACAGTCACCGCAAGAGGTAACCCTTCTGGCACCGCAACAACTACAATAGTGACTGCTATGATGAAGTAATCGACCAAATCGGTTATTCTCCACCAATTGAAATTGGCGGGGTCACATTTATCACCGTCAACTTTTGGATCACACAACTTACAATGATCACCTTTTAAGACATATCCATTGAACGTAACCGCTTTGTAGAACCACCACAAACTTAAAACAACAAAGACTACACCAGCACATAACATCCCCATTTTCCCAATTAACTCGGCTAAATCGTCAAGCCTTTCTTGTAATGGAGTTGGGCGTTGTTTATCTTTGTTGACGTAAGCCTTCAGTTTTCCCCACTGTGAGTTCTGTCCAACGGCCACAACAACCATTGCACCAGTGCCGTCCGTCACTGTACATCCAGACAAACACACAAAATTCTCTTCAGATTTTTTACAGGCAACACTGGGTATCAGTGGAATAGTTAAATAATACTATAATGATAGTATAATGGAACAAACCTTTCACCAGTCATTTCAGACTCATCGATTCTTATTCCACTTCCTTTCAAAAAGACTCCATCAGCTGGTAAAACATCACCGACTGATAGAAAGACGATATCACCAACAACAAGTTGAGATGATGTCGATTCGGTTGGGATACCATTTCTTAATATTTTAACAGAGCAGTCCGTCTCTCTTTCGGCAATTTCAATAAATTTACTTTGCTTTGAGTAGTCATTCCAAGCACCTATAAGACTCACTGCAAGGACAGCTGTTAATATGGCAAATCCTTCATAATAATCGGACCCGCCTTCCATGTCAACTATGTTGGGGCACTCACGTTTTGCGTGTGGGACAATGGCTGCAAGGATAAGAGAAACAACAGCAGAAGCAATCAAGATGAGAAGAGTTTGGTCGGAGAGGGCTTCTTTCCATATCTCAAAGAAAGATTGACGTTCAGCAGGAGGAAGAAGGTTGTTGCCATATTGTTGGACACGTTGAGAAATAGTCTCGTCTGATATCCCAGCCTTCTCATCTACATTAAGAGAGGAACATATACCTTTGACACCACCAAGGCGTTGAAAAGTGTCGAAGTCGCGATGCTCTACCATGTCAGACAAATCAGTTCCACGGAGGGGAAAGTGTAAAGTCGAGTCGATATGTCCTCGTTGCGGTTTAGTGGTACGTTGCATTCACTTTTTCTATTATGAGTTCATTTAAATTTTGTCGCATCACTTATAAAAAATGTTGGATTGAGTGTTTGTGAAAGCATTTTTTGATTCATTGTGATTTGTATCATAGTAATTGAAATGTTTTTAATTAAATTATAGGTTTGAGTGCGTTTGGTAAAACTGTTGGTCTTTTTCAAAACATTTTAACTCATTTTTTTAATTTGTTTAAGAAAAAGTCAAATTTAAGTATAGTTATTGTTATGATAAAGTAGCTATAATCATTAAATTAATTACTATATATTTATAGCAATTTGTATAATTTTTATAAATTTGTCCATTATTTAAAATATTAATTATTATTTTTTATTAAAAAAAATGGATATAATAAAACCAATCAAAAAATGATAATTTTTTTAAAAAGATTCATATAAATAAAAAAAAAATAAAATGAAAAATGATGATTAACTTTATTTATAGTAATATTTATAATTGTTTTATAGTTTTATTAAGAAAAACAAGAGTTTTTCTAATAATAAAGTAATACTAATAAAAGATTAACAAATAAACAAAGCATTTCTTGTTAATTACAGAAGTTCCAAACTCATCATATTCTGATTTACTCACTTTTTCGTTGTCAAATAATGAGGTAGACCCGATGATTGAAGCTCCGATCCAAGCACTATATTTTTGTGCAATATCTGTATTTTCGATCACTTTGGTTTTGTAATTTTGTGGAACTAAGGTACTCATTTCCTTCGAGATTCTTATGGACAAGTTGTCGAACATTGAAGATCCTCCTGTGATCACCAAGTTCATGAACAACGATTGCCTGATGTCAGCGCCGCATTTCATAATTGAGTTGTATATGTTCTGATGTATTCCCAACTCTTCGGAACCAATTGTTGAAGGCTGCAACAGTGCTTCTGGGGCCAAGAACCTTTCCTTTCCAATTATTAAGCGTTCTCCATCTGGGAGCATATACACCTTTTCAACCTGAGTTGAGGACTTTTCAATTTCTTCATTAAAATTGGATGCAAAATAACACATATGTTCTTTGATGTCTCTTGCAATGATTCGGTCAAAATGGGTTGTTTTGAATGGTTCATTGTTGGCCATAACAGAGTTGAAAATGAAATCAGTGATCTCTTCCCCTCCAATATTTATTACTTTTGCAGAATTGGGAAGAGGATAACCCTCATTAAACGATACAAAAGATATCACCCCATCACCCATCTCCACTTCAGTGATTGTTGCTCGACAAGTTGTGTACATTGAAAACCCATTTGTCGTTCCAATATAAAAGCCATTAACATTAAACTCTTCGAAAAACACTTGAGCAGACTTTTCTCGAATTGTTTTATAATTCATAAGGGGCTCCGTTAATATCACATTTGAGTCGTTGGGAATATTTCGAAGCTCAGAATAAAATGAATGATGCCATACCTTTGTCATGTCCTCGAAGTTTTTAATCAGTCCATGATTGACAGGGTGTCGTAACAACTTCCATGGTAATTTAGCAACAGCTTCATCACCAACATAACTATTTTTTAATTCGATAGTGTTTGCCTTTTTGTAATTGCCAACAACCGTTGGGAAGACTGCAATGGGCGATTCTTCACCAGCGTACCCCGCTTTTGTATATAAAGAACCGTTGTCAAATACAAATGTGGTGAGTCCGTCTCCCATTGATGTTTTGAAGAACAAAAGTTTTTTTATAAATTAAAATGATTTATTTAAGTCTATTATTTCAAAAATTTGTTTTATACCTTTAAACGTTCTGTGGTACCTTTTAGACTAAAAGAAATAAAATATTTCGAGAATCTGTCATAAATATACATCCTATTGTTTCTGTTTTCCCACGTTTTAGATTATGCTCGATGTTTAGATAAATCAAACGAATAACATTGAAAGACTGGCTCTAATCAATTTAGTTTAAAATATGTGCAATAAATGCCATACAGTACTATCACTGTACGGTGTTTTTAAACAACACTCGATTGGTTGTTATTTCTTCCAAAAGTTGAACAATTTCACCTGATTCTCATTTTTTAAACTTTGTCTGTATTATTTGTTAAATGGACAACGTTTTTAGACAGCTCTGTACAAATTGCAAAATTTGATTGTTTAAATTACCAATTGACAGATATGATTTTATTCGACAAACACAGTCACGAAATGAAAATCGTGATCAAACGAATAAGTCATCTCTCTTTTGTTCAACACTCTCACAATTTTGGCAAGAGCAAGTTCGTGCCACTCTCCATCACTCTTGCTCCCTATGTCAAACACAATTTCTGCCTTTTTCTCGTGAAAGGCTATTTCAATTTGATTCAACACAACACGTGCAAAAAATCCGTGTTCGATATATATATTTATTTTATAGTTCATATATGATTATATATATTTATTTTTTTTCATCAAATTTTTTGGAAATCTTATAATATAATTTTAAATAACATTTTTTTATATGATTGTTTATTGTACAAACTATTTTTGTTTTGATTTGTTCTATAATTGATTTATTTAAATTTGATTCTATAAGTATTAAAATATTAATATATTTATGAAAAAAGAGCCAATAAAATTAATTTAATTTTTAATTTTCATTTTGACTTTTTCTTATTAAACTAATTATTATATTTATAAGGCGGTTTAGCTCAGTGGCAGAGCGTCTCTCTCGTAAAGAGAAGGTCATGGGTTCGATCCCCATAGTCGCCTTTTTGTCATATAAATGATGACTTTTGTCACCAGTTTAATATTAATTTATAAGAAATATTCATTAATAATTTATTTTTTAAAATATTATTGTATTACAGTTTTAGCAATAAATACATTCCTTTATTTACATAAAAATGGTCCCACCCAGAATCGAACTGGGGTCCTAAGAACCAAAATCTTATATGCTGCCCCTACACCATGGAACCCTAACAAATAAATATTTATTTTTTTCTTAATTCAGTCTGTGTTTATATTTTTAAGTGTTAATGTTTTTAATATTATTTTATTATATTTGTCTTGCTCTTTTTATAATTAAAAACTATAATATATTTTATCTTTTTTTTGAAACATGATATTAATGTACATATAATTGAAAATGTAATATAATCTATAAAATCTCATTTTTCTGTTAACTTTTAAAATATAAAATTATGATAAGAATTTTCTTGTTATAAAAGTATTGTTTGTTATTTTTTTGCTAGACACATTAATATATTTTTTCAGTTGTTATAACTACTTATTATTTTAATAATAAGTAGTTATACCAATACCACAATTCTTTAAGAATTATGGGAAACAATTTGTTGGTCAACCACTCTGTCCAGCTTCATTCCTTCTCCGATGTGATACACTCAAAGAATACACTGGAAATTATGAAAAAGAGGATACAGTTCATTTTGGATCGTTTTTCATTGCAAAGACAGGATCAAATGACATGACACATGAAGTTCTTATCAACTGTGAAGTGAGAATGACAATCATCAGCTATACACTCGGTCCAGACTTCGAATGCACTGTAGATGAAGAAAAT